CTTAAAGTAGGTCACAAAGGAACAAATTAAAATACAGTCTGGGGGACCCTAAGACCCCTATTGAGAATCTCTGCATTAGGCTAATTCAATATTGGCCTACAATAACTTGATTTTATTATTTAATCAATTTCTTACCGCCTAACTCAAACAGTGTGATTCTGAAAATGTGATTAATCGTGCACTGAACTGGAAAACAGTAAATGGATCTGCAATAATATTAATATTTGTATTTTCCATCCCTGCTAGTTGCTCCCCTTATAAATCACAGTGTGCTGCAAAGTTGTGTTTGTGTGAGTTAATAAAGCTGTGTTACAGCGACGCCTAATGGCCAGTTAAGGTATTGCCAGTGAGCTAAAATGGTGACTGGAGGCCTCCTAAGTGTCAACATTAAATAAAAATCAAAGGAAATGTGTTTTTTCACTCGGAACACTTAATATGTTTAACTTGGGTCTTAAATGCTTTACTACTACTAATGTATTAAGCACTAAACAAGCTTGATATCATAACAGCAGCAGAACCATTTCTGGTGTTCTATAGAACCATATACAGCACATTCTCCAAGAACCTGAAGAACGTGATTTCGCCATGCAAAGAACCAAATGCGTATGCAAATTGCTCTATATGCATATGCATTGTTTTATATTGTAGCTGGCGCCTGAGACTTTGGAGGCGTGGCTATGCAGATAACCACAAGGCTTTTGGTAGCACACGCCCTCTGACAAAGGGGCTTATTTATGTTATTTATTGTTGGTTGTTGTTAGCTTAAGTTGTGCACAGATGAAAAAGATGGTTCTTCAAGGGTTCTTTAGTAAAGAAAATGGTTCTACATAGAACCATGAACACTCAAAGAATCCTTTGCATGATCAATAGGTTCTTTGCACCATGAAGGTCTTCTTCACATTGATGGAGAATGTGCTGTAGATGGTTCTATAGGGAACCTTCTTAAAAAAGGGTTGTATATAGCACCAAAAATGGTTCTTCAATTGTTACAAGCTTGACACTGTCACAATAGAAGAACCTTTGTGAACCCGGTGTGCTGTATGTGTACCTTTCTGCTGGTGTGTCTTGCAGCGGACTAATAGCTACACCTGTGTTTCTTCTTCTGCCGATGCTGCAGTATAGTACTCATGGTTCTAAATAGAACCATTGCCTTTACTAAAGATCTAGTGAAGAACTGTCTTTAAAGCATGTAGGTCTTTCCGGGTCACATACTACCAGCGCTAAGAAGGTGATGTTAATGAAGGCCTTTGCAATAAACAGTGTAGTCACTGACTGTAAAGCTGTTAGCATGGACCAGCGAGTGTACTGAAGGAGCAAGAACCCGGTTTTGTTGAAACTGAGAGGCTGACAATTTATTTTCTTAGCTAGAACTGCGCTGAGCAGCTAGCTAACAAGCTAAAAGCCAGTTGACGAAGAATAGGTCACATAAATGACTTTAATGCTGCAGATGTCTGTTTTAGTTTTATCTGTCACAACCTCCTCAGTCCTGAGACTGCACAGCCTTAAAAACAATGTTTTACTATGAAATATGTTCTCTACTTCATATTAAATAACATAATACATTTATTTGTATTTATTTATTCATTTGTTTATTTATTTTTGCTGAGAAACACATAATGTTTAGCGTCCAGTATGCTGGACATTTGGATGGACAGTCCAGAAGTCCAGATTCCCTGAAAAAGACGTCGTCTGGATGGCAGCATATGTTGCCAAAACATGTATGTATCATTCAGCATTAATGGTGCCTTCACAGATGAGCACGTCACCCATGCCATGTGCACTAATGCCCCCTATACCATCATGAATACTGGCTTTTGAACTGTGCACTGATAACAAGCTGAGTGGTCTTTAGCCCGGAGGACACAGTGTCCATGATTTCCAACAAGAATTTCAAATGTTGATTCGTTGGACCACAGGACACTTTTCCACTTCATCTTGATCCATTTTAAATGAGCTCAGGCCCAGAGAAGGTGGCAGCGTCTCTGGATCCTGTTTATATTTGGTTTCTTCTTTGTGTTTTAGAGTTTAAACTTGCATTTGTGGATGCAGTGATGAACTGTTTTCACAGACAGTGGTTTTCAGAAGTGTTTCTGATCCTGAGTGATTTCCACTATAGAATCATGTCTGTTTTTAATGCAGTGCCGTCTGAGGGCCCAAAGATCACGGCCAGCAAATACTGGTTTTAGGCTTTGTCCCTTACATACAGAGATTTCTCCAGATTCTCTGAATCTTTTAATGTTATTATGTATAGGTGTCGATGAAAAGCAAAAGTTCTTTGCTATTTTATGTTGAGAAACGTTATTCATGAATTGTTGCACTATTTGATCGTGCAGTCTTTCACAGAGTGGTGAACCCCTCCTCATCTTTACTTCTGAAAGACTCCGCCTCTCTGGGATGCTCTTTTTATACCCAATCATGTTACTGACCTGTTGCCAATTAACCACCAGGTGTTTTTTTAGCATTACACAAATTTACCAGCCTTTTGTTGCTCCGTCCCAACTTTTTTGGAAGGTGTTGTTGGCATCAAATTCAAAATGGGTCTATATTTTTCAAAAAACAATAAAATTTCTCAGTTTCAACATCATTGAATTTTGTTTTTATTTACATTTTGCACAGCCTCCCAACTTTTTTGAAAATGGGGTTGTGTGTATATATATATATATATATATATATATATATATATATATATATATATATATATATATATATATATAATTTTGGATATAATGAGTTTTTGAACAGAATGTCAGGTGATGTACAATAGAAAATATATTTTTCAATTTCTCTAATAAACACAATATTAATCATAATATAGCATTGATATGTGTTGTATGTGTAAAGTCCACTCTCAACAATATATATAATGAAAAAATGAAAATTCTTGAAAGTGCTCTGTGTGTTTGCAATGAAACCCTTCATATACTTGCATGTATGTTTTGCTCTATTATCTGTCTGTCTATGCAAAGATTTTTTTTTTTTGCCCCTTTGTGACCAGAGTGTAAAACAGCATTTTGCACTGAGATTGTCGTGTTAAATGCAGTTATATTACAGAAAACACACTGCTGTGCACAGTTATTAGATCAGATAATCCAGTGTTTTCTTTCATTATTTCTATAATCTCACATGCTTGTGTACTTTGGGCTCTATTACAATAGAATTCCACTGGTTTTTCAATTCAAAAAATAGACAAAGTCATTCAAAGTGAATGTGCATGTGTCTGAGTTTGTTTGCTTATAATATTATATAAACAATATTATATGTTTATAATGGGAAGGTGAAGATTAGTTTGCCCTACAGTTCCCTGCGTGCACCTCATTAAACACATTTTATTTCAAAACTATCATAAAACAATCAGACACCATGTAGTGCGTTAGTAACCATTTGTGTAGGAATTTTCTGTGCTTTAGCTTTTAGAAACATTAAACACTTTTGGTTCCAGTCACCGCTGCTGTGAACAATTCTGACTCTGTAAATGTTTTCACAACTTTAAAAATATTACAATTATTTTTACAACTTTATGACCTAATTATGCAGAGAGTTCTGAAAAATCTGTGAAAATCATCTTTAAAATCTTAAAATCTGCTATTCTGTAAGGGAGCGTGGACGATGAACAGACAATGCAATGATGAAAACGGGGAAAGTAAACAATTAAAGCAAAAATACTGAACACAGTATGTGTTTCTTTCGTTTTGTTTCATTAATGCGGCCTAACTGCAAATATCAGCACAAAATCTGCTCGTCTACAAGCCATAGAAAACATATATTAAACAGTACCTGATCTGAGAAACTGTAGTAAATAAAATCTTAAGAGTTTCCACTGGTAAACTATCCTCTACCTGAGGAAAATGACACCCCTTCAACTCAGAGCTCTTTGCTTTACTCTTTCCTTAAAGCTCTTTGTGCAACTGGGCGGTCGTTACAAGCCTAGGCCGCTAGATGGAGCCCCAGTGATGCACGTCACCCACCAAACTGATTCCCAGGTGGGCCAGAATCTCTCCTTGGAGGCCTAGAAATGTCTAGAAGCGCCACAGAGGGACAGAATAACTGCCCACACTCCAACATTGTACAGCAAGTTAGATAACACTGAGCCTATTCTGTACTTTTCGTGATGTAACAGAGCGCTAAGTGTAGTTTAGTGAAATCTGTTAAATTATTTAGCCTTCCTTCTAGCGTTTCTTGAGAGTTAAAAGCAAGCAGAAGCAGAAGTGTTACAGCCAGATCTGAGAAAAGATAGATTTGAGTACATACACTCCTGCTGTGAACAGCATAACACACCTGGCATGCAGATCGAGGCGGTTTAACAGCCTAGGTTATATATTATATAAACATAATTAAACCATGCTTAGAAAAATGTGATTTCATTGTGAGGAACCAAGAAGACGACTTCACACAGACATCTCACCTATAAACCTCTTTTTATCCGCTCTGTCTGCCGGTGAGCTCAGAGAGTGGGCGGGTCCGCCGGTGTCGTCCCTCGGCGAGCGGCAATCGGGTGATACCGTGAGGGCGGCGCCTGTGAGTGAGGAGGCGACGCCGTTCGCAGACGAACTTTTTCTTTTCCCACCCGTATCTAGACAAGTCCCGCCCTTTCTCTGCTGCGATTGGCTATGAGTCCAGAACTTTAATGTCGCTATTTTAGCCAATCATAGCGCACTCTGAGCCTTCTACAAGGCGTAGCGAAATGTTATACGACGGTCTGTTTGAGGGAATGGACTCTAGCCAATCCTAATGCAGGAAGGGCGGGACTTGCCGGAATTTCTAGCCAATCCGAACACAGGAGAAGCCTACTAGTACTGTGGTCCGCTTATAGGTATGAACTCCTAACTAATCGGACGGTATAGCGACTATCACACTGCACACTCTCACACTATCACACTGCACGCTCTCTCTAATAATAATATGATCTTAACACTAAGATGATTCTGGGAAACCGGGTCTTGGAAGGCGAGGCGAAGCGGTTTACAGCATGAGCTCCTAGCCAATCCCAGCGCAGCGAGGGCGGGACCTGTCCGAATACGGGTGGGGGAAAAATTAACGCTGCTCTCGCTGCCACGGTTCCAACCGGCGTCTTTTTCCTTTACTCCCCTCATATCATCCGCCCACTGTTAAGAAGAGACCTCACCTCTCAGTCGCTGAGCTGTCAAGCCGGGCAACTCGGTCGTTTTCTATCATTTTACTTGTTAGTTTTCATGTCGCAAGATCCGAGCGTGTCGGACAGTGTCACGAACTCTAAACGGAAAATAAACCAGATGATTACGGAGACGGAGATACACGTGCCCGTGGGCTCGCCGGTCATCAGAAAATTCCCGATATATGTCGACGAGCACGACGTCGTGGACGGGGCGATGAAACTGATTAAAGAGCTGCGGCCGAACTGGGACGTAAACCTTGTGAAGACGAAGGTGGGTCTGGAGCGACACGCTCAGCAGTCCTTTAGCTGCCGTTAGCTGGCGGTACTGGCAACGTCACCGCGCCGGTTCCCCTCTCCGTAGCGCGCACCTTCTCCGTGCCTTTAAATATGACACGGAGACCGCCGAAGCAAAACCCAGCATCCAGTATCAACCTAGCCAGCAAACGTTCAGGCAGTCAGCCAGCTGTATCACACCGGAGCCTGGACCGCCGGCTAAACTAAGCTAAGCTAAGCTAAGCTAATGCCTTCCCTCCGCTTAATCTGGAGCAGCGAAGCCTAGCAACTGAAACTCGCCTTAGCAACCGCACTCAGTATCGGAGTGATCCAGCTGGTGTTTACGTTTATAACTGTATAAACTTAATATAAAACCCTTTATTGAATTCCAGTGAGTGTCTGTAAGCTCTGGCGATGCGATAATACTAATAACACTGGCTAATATTGCGCTGACAGTGTTTTAGTTCAGAAACACGGCCACTCAGGGATTGATTAATTCAGACTTTTTGCCGGTTAATGTATAGTGTTTGGTTTGTTTACTTCTATATTACATTTTCACATTTTTACTTTGACGTTTTTACATTATTATAGAGGAATATTTACGTTAATACTGATAAATAGTCGGCCCAGCGCTGCTACTACTGTAACTGAACTGCTGTAAATCAGCCTCGCTAGCGTTAACTAACCTACGTAGGAACCAAAGCCATGTCCTCCAGGAAAAGCCCTGATGTGATGGGACCTCGGCTGGGGGGACAGAGGCTCCAGGGACTCTATATAAAGCCTTACTACAGAAAACAAAGAAGGCTTTTGAATACCAAGACATTGAGTATGTCGTTCAGGAGCAGCAGTATCAGCACAAACCGCACGTTTAGGTTCACGACCTGGTGCTAACTGGTGCTGGCTGACTGTTGGTGAGCAGCTGGCAGTGAAGGTTTTCATTCACAGGCCTCCAACGAGTTAACCAACTTAATTATCTGTAAAACTCTGCAGTTTTTTAACCCTGAATGACTAGCAGTCACCTTACCACACCCAGTTCTGCACAGCTGCCCTGCTGTCTTACTTTTGGCTCCAGGAGAACCTGTGTGTGTGTTGGACTGCTAAAAATAGGCTTCATACACTGAGCTAGTTAATCTGCCTGACCATTCAGCAGATGACTGGACACTTTTTGCATTATGTAAAGCACATCTGATTTGGTTCGCTTAGTGCAGTAATGCTTTAAGGCTGTCCAGTTTCTAATAGAGTTTGGGCTCTTTTCTGTGCCCTTTCATCACTCTTTCCTCTACAATTAGGAAACATTGAGTCCAGATGTTTGATATTCATTAGTAATGTTCGTAGGCTGAGCACTATTCATTTGTTTTGCAGCTGGCCAGCTGTTGCCTTTGGGTTGATTGGATTTGAATGGCAAAATACGAGATGACTTGGGGTGGGAATCTGTAAGCACCTCATGATTTGTTTTACGGTGCCAAGATACAATTATAAAAAGATTGTTTTAAGCATTTTGATTTTTATAGCACATCTTTTGATGTTTCCCCCAACCTCCATCTGTGGAAGTAGGGAGTATCTGAGTATTGAAATTACCTTTATGACGGAATTACTTCAATACCACTGAGTATCGAAAATGTTTGGATCTATTCTTAAGTATTCGGTTTTATTACCATCCATGAGCCGAGAAGCGTGCATGTTCCAAAATCTAGACTGCTGATTGGCTAGACTGGCTGTCTGAATTACAGACCTTGTGCATGTTGTTAAGGTCAGTGATGCTCCGATCAGTTGTCAGTAAATATACCCAATTCCCAAAATGTACCTCTCATTGCTTTTTTAAGCCACACCCCCTTTTAGTGTGTAATTTAAAAGAATGTACCGAAAAAAAAGTATCGTTCAGGTATCAATATTTAAGTCAAGGTATTGGTAATGATATCGACACTGGAAATTCTTGAACGATACCCAGCTCTAATAACAAGCAGCATTAGTTTGGTTGAATTTGAATGTAGCTTAATGTGCCACACTGGTGTGCAGGCCTGTGACTTTCTTTGACCATGTAATAGGGATAAAAATGCAAGAAATATATATCGCTGCTGTGGGGACAAAACTGTGTATCTCCATTTTTGTTTTTCAGTTTTTGACATAATTTGAAAATGCCTTTTGCCCTGTACATTGTTTGTAAAAGTCATGATGAAGGGACCAAAAGAAACGACCCAAAATGACTTGGAAAGACGTCTGGTTCCATTGACTTACATTAGAAGTAAAGTATGTTTTACCTTCTCCTGTAAAATTCAGAGAGCAGCGACTTTTTACATATATATATTTATATATATATATATTTATATATAGCAAAATATACATATATTGCTGTTGTCAGGAGAAAACCTCGTATCTCCAAAATGGTAACTTTACAGGAACAGGAAAAAACCTGCTTTACTTTTAGTGTAAGTCAATGAAACCAGACTTTTGTCCAGGTCATTTTGGGCCGTTTCTTTTAGTCCATTCTTCATGAAATTTACACACAATGTAAAGAACAACAGACGTTTTCAAATTATGTCAAAAAGTGAAAAACGACAAAAATGGAAATACAAGGTTTTCGTCCGATCACAGCGAGATATATATATATATATATATATATATATATATATATATATATATATATATATATATATATATATATATATACGCGTTGTAAGCATGAGTTTTTTTTCTTGTATATCTAGCAAAAGGTGAAACACAACCACATTTCCACACCCAAACATTCCTGTCATCATGCTGGTTATGGTGGTGGTTTATGACTCTTTGAATTGTTGTGTTAGTACAGTCAGATGTGCAGTTGTGATAATCACTGTATATTATGTCCTGTAAACTGTCCCAGTTAAACTTCTCTCTGCGTTTATTTCTTGTTGTCATTTCCTAGCCTGTATCTGGGTGAATGTACTTCAAAATACACTTCATCATTCACCTCTTCCAATGGCTCGATGTGTTTGTGATAATATACCTTCATAAATCGCTCTGAATGTTTGTGTAGGTTCTGCGTGTAACAGTGGATGTCGGTCTGTCCTGCGGCCAGGCCGAGATGAGTGCCACGGTCAAATGTTTACCGCTTTTCTCCGGCCCTAATCCTGGCCTTTCCTCCACGCGGACAGCACAGCAGTGTTTACAGACCACCTACATAGCTTTCGTCAATGAAAAAAAAAAGAATGCATTGTTTCCCAACCTGTTGTGTGCAGTGAACTGAGTGTTGCCATTTGAACTAAGCCAAAAACTCTCGCTGTGAAAGTTCTGTGGACACGTGGCGCCAAGGGATCACCATTCATGAGATTAGTGAATCAGATTACAACCAGACGGTCACCTGCATCACAGGGCAATCAGTGGAGCGAGCTGACAGGGGTCATATGACGTGGCTGAAAGGTACAGGAGAGGTGAGGGGTGTGGCGTTTTAGTTTGCCGACTACTGCTGGAGCCAGGTGACCTGGAAAAGAACCAAACTATAAATATTTACAACCCATACAGTGATAAACATGCTTCACGTCTCGGACTATTAACCATATTTGGCCATAAATATTTTTCGAGGTCCAGAATATTGAACATATCTGGTCATAAATATTTATTAAGCTCCAGAATATTCACCACATTGGGCCATAAATGTTCAACTCACACAATGTTCTCCAAATCTGGCCATAAATATTCACCCAAAATATTCACCCAGTGAATGAAAATATTCATAATATTCACCCAAAAAATTCACCATATCTGTCCTGCCCATAGACTGGTGACCTGTCCAGGGTGTATTCTGCCTTCCGCCCAATGACAGCTGGGATAGGCTCCAGCACCCCACCATGACCCAGAAGGATAAGTGGTTTAGAGGGTGTGTGTGGGTGTGGGTGTGTGTGTGTGTGTGTGTGTGTGTGTGTGTGTGTGTGTGTGTGTCCTGCCCATAGTGTCCTGATTGCAGGCAAGTTGGATTTGTTTCTCAGGTCAGATCTTTTGAGATGACTGTCCGCTTTGTTATTTGCAAGTGATCAGATCGGATTTGTGTGTCCAGACATCACCAACCTATCTGCATGGGTTGCTGTGGTAACAACGTGGCATCAGTAGCTATTCAAATGTGGGTGCAGGAGAGATGGAGGTGCATCATCTCGCCCTCCAAACTCTTCACAATTCTCTTGCATAAGCATGAATCTTTGGCACTTTTCGCAAATCCCAGCATTTCTGTCACTCTGGATTTGACATCGTAGTTGTTTGTCACGTTGTGAGTGACGTAAAAGACACTTGGAAATCTAATTTGAGCAGCCAGAGCGTCCAGACTGAGACACATTCGTAAAAATCCGATTGGCATCTCATTTCAAACCACCTCCAAATGTGGTTTGGATCTGATTTGTGGTTCTTCGTGTGGTTCTTTGCTGTCCTGACTATCAAAAACCAGTCTAGATACAATCTGGATGTGCCAGAATGGCCTTATGCTCCTTGTTCATGTGCTTTGAAAGTGAAAGTATTAGATGCTGCCTGGTTTGTATGAGTTTGCATTTGCACTCGATTTGTTAACTTGCACTTTGTTTTTTCTCTGTTGCGCTCAACACTCCTGCTATCTGACTTTATCGATTCACTATAAAGAGAACTGGGCTACTTCCTTGTTTCCTATATTAACAGCTGTTCAAAGCCTGCAGTGCTTATCAGGTTTAGCATCTGAGAGAATAGATAGACTGAGTTGTTTTCGACTGAAAGATGGTAGGTCTTACTGGCCTCATTGTTTGCCATCCTGCATAGATCCGTTAAAATAATGGAGCAGCAAAGTCCAGAGCAGTATCCCGTATGAGTAGCGATCTATGCCCAGAATTTCCACCACTGTGCCGTCTCTATGTAAAGCCATTTCAGGAATGTCAGAAATGTTCTGATGGGCGGTGGGGCCAATGGTGTAGATTGTGTCGCTTTCACTGGATACGTTTCCCTGAAATCACTGTTTTTGACAGTTTAACAGTTCTGTCCAGTTTCATGAATGAATTGTGGTATTCCAGTGTAGATTTAAAACTGTAATCAATAGAGACAGTGACCCGTATGTGTAAGTTGATCCCTGATCTGCATTCGTACTTAATACAACCCCATTTCCAGGGACGCTGTGCAGAATGTGAATAAAAATAGGATGCAATTATATGCAAATCATGTAAACCAAGGACAATAGTACAAAGACAACATATCAAATGTTAAAACTGAGAAATTTAGTTGTTTTTTGAAAAATATATGCCCATTTGAATTTGAACATGTTCCAAAAAAGTTGAGATGGGGGCTTGTTTACCACTGTGTTTCATCACCTCTTCTTTTAATAACCCTCTGTAAGCATTTCGGAACTGAGGAGACACTGCTGTCGTTTTGAAAGTGAAATGTTTTTCCGTTTTTGTTTGATACAGGATTTCAGCTGCTCAACATTTCAGGGTCTCCTTTGTCGTATTTTTCATTTCATAATGCGCCATATGTTATCAGTGGTGACAGGTCTGGACTGCAGACAGGCCAGTTCAGCACCCGGGCTCTTTTAATACAGAGCAATGCTGTTGTAATACATGCAGAATGTGGTTTTACATTGTCTTGCTGAAATAATCAAGGCCTTCCCTGAAAAAGACGTTGTCTGGATGGCAGCATATGTTGCCAAAACATGTATATATCATATGTATATATGATGCCTTCACAAATGTGCATGTCATCTATGCCATGTGCACTAATGCCCCCTATACCATCATGAATACTGGCTTTTGAACTGTGCACTGATAACAAGCTGAGTGGTCTTTAGCCCGAAGGACACAGTGTCCATGATTTCCAAAAAGAATTTCAAATGTTGATTCGTCAGACCACAGGACACTTTTCCACTTCCCCTCAGTCCATTTTAAATGAGCTCAGGCCCAGAGAAGGTGGCAGCATTTCTGGATTCTTCTTTGTGTTTTAGAGTTTTAATTAGCATTTGTGGGTGCTGCAACGAACTGTGTTCACAGACAGTGTTTTTCAGAAGTGTTTCTGAGCCCATGCAGTGATTTCCACTAAAGAATCATGTCTGTTTTTAATGCAGTGCCGTCTGAAGGCCCAAAGATCACGGCCAGCAAATACTGGTTTTAGGCTTTGTCCCTTACATACAGAGATTTCTCCAGATTCTCTGAATCTTTTAATGTTATTATGTATAGTTGTTGATGAAAAGCAGAAGTTCTTTGCTATTTTATGTTGAGAAACGTTATTCATGAATTGTTACACTATTTGATCGTGCAGTCTTTCACAGAGTGGTGAACCCTCCTCATCTTTACTTCTGAAAGACTCCGCCTCTCTGAGATGCTCTTTTATACCCAATCATGTTACTGACCTGTTGCCAATCAACCACCTGGTGTTTTTTTTAGCATTACACAACTTTACCAGCCTTTTGTTGCCCCTGTCTGTCCCTGTTGTTGGCATCAAATTAAAAACAGGAAAATATTTTCCAAAAAACAGTAACATTTCTCAGTTTCAACATTTAACATGTTGTCTTTGTACTATTTTCAATGAAATATAGGGTTTAAATGATTTGCACTTCATTGCATTTAGTTTTTAATTTACATTTTGCACCTTTTTTGGAAATGGGGTTGTAGTTCAAGAGAAATACTGGCCCATATTTAGGAAATTCTGCTACGTTTTTTAATATTTATAAAATATAAACCTGTAATGCGATTATTTCACAACTTAAATGTCAAAGCCCAGTTTTGAAGCTTTATTTTTAATTGCATGCATCTCCCTCCACTAGCTTTTCACAGACGGAACGACTAACAAGCTGGTGGGCTGCTATGTGGAGGATAGTCCGGAGGATGTGGTGCTGGTGAGGGTCTATGGCAATAAGACAGAGCTGATTGTGGATCGTGACAATGAGCTGAAGAGCTTCCAGGTGCTGCACGCTAACGGCTGCGCCCCCCGCCTGTACTGCACCTTCAACAATGGAATCTGCTACGAGTTCATGCAGGGAGACGCCCTCGGCACCCAAGACGTCAGGGACCCCGTGCTGCTCAGGTTAGTCCACCGTACAGTCCATGGCTTAGGAATTTTCCCATATGCTGACATCGCAATGCTCAAGGTACACAGCTTGTTACCTTCTGTTCTTAATAAACAGTATTATATAGTTCAGCAATGTCTAGTGTGAACCCTACACTGCAGTAGCACTGGAACTAAACTTGTCAAGGTGGTTGATTTTCACTTCGGGACGCTCCTCTTCTAGGTCAGGCTAAAGAAATAGTTTGGTTAATCAGGCATGTTTGGTGTCGGAAATAGCCTTGAGCCAATAATTGATCATATCAAATGTCACGATAATTTAAATAAGCGCTGATATTATGCAAACGATCACTTCCGTTCTCTTTCATGAGCCACATAATTTAAATTGCTTTGGCCTTATTTAACTATCCCCTCTGTACCATCATTCTAGTCTATGGTTAGCTAAAAATGTGTATAATATAGCAGATATAAAGTGCTTCACTATAAGTCAAACAAATAGAACTAATTAACTAAACTCCTACATACATTGAAAGCTGTATTGAAAGATTATAACATGGATTTTAAGCCCTAAAGGAACTGTGGATACATGCAAATGAAACAGAAACTCTGGTACATGAGATTAAGGAATGAAATGGACAAGCTTGTCCAGAAGGTGCCAACCAAACGGACGTGGAGAACCACTGGATGTTACAGTGTCACATGAATCAGCAGAATATAGTTATCATTATATTAGATCATTATATTAGAAGCTGATCCAGATGGTAATTATATGATAATTATATTACCATAAATAAACATGCAAGCTAAATAAGCTATGTAAGGCTCTGTAACGCTGACGCGTAATGCTTTGTAAATGAATTTAGATCACCATGATCTTTTATCATGATAATTCCACAGATGATAATCATTTGTCTGAATTTATATTGTCGTCCAAGCTTGGCTTTTGCACTGTAGCTATGAGGCTAATGTAACTAACATGTAATGTAAGCTAATACCTTGTAATTAACATTATATAAGCTGCATGCTTAAATCATCACACACCTGCCTCAAACTCCATGTTATCTATACTGGTATATATAAAATTACATTAAAAAACAGTTCCGGCCACGCAAGCTGATTGGCTGAGAGGCGTTTTAACTGCGCTGTTATTTCACCATAACATCACGTTTTTTTCACAAACACTATATCACTCTGCTGAGACGCCGTTGTTAAGCAACGACTTTGACAGCTGTAGGAGACGCTCAAGCCATTTGAACGTTTTTACTTCTTACTTTGCCACAAACAGAAAATGGACACTTCTAAGATCACATTTGACCGACAGCCGATTTGGTCAGACTCTGAAGATGAGACGACACTAAATTCCCAAACTGTCATCACCACTGAGCAGCTTTTCAGTCGGCAGCTGAGACAGAAGAACAGCTGAACAACCTGGAATCAGCCAGAAATGAACCCAACACCATTCACCAAACTAAATGGGCTGTAAGATGCTTTACAGACTGGCTGGAACAAAACAACATTAATACTGATCTGGCAAAAACTGACAAAACTGAGCTAAACTTGATATTGCAGCAGTTTTATGGCTCAGTCTGATTTGGTCAGACTCTGAAGATCAGACTACAAGTTCGGCGAATGGTATTAGGTTCATTTCTGGCTAATTCCAGGTTGCGTAGCTTGAAGCGTCTGCATTCGCATCCTTGCATGAAGTATGTTTCGGGCCTTATTGCGGCACAATTTCTGAGTTTTGGAATTTTTATATCTGTCTGCCTCTGCAGAGTGTAATACACTATGAGAAACCACATATCACTATTGTCAGATCAAAACCTCGTATCTCCAAAACGAGAACTTTACAGGAGAAGGTAAAAACATGCTCTACTTTTAATGTAAGTCAATAGAACCAGACTTCTTTCCAAGTAATTTTGGGTCGATTCTTTTCGTCCATTCATCATGAAATGTACACACAACATATAGGACCACAGATACTTTCAAATTATGTCAAAAAGTGAAAAACGACAAAAATGGAGATATGAAGGTTTTTATTCCGTCAGCAGCGAGATGTTAGTCTGTTTCTGATATGGTATGAAATTTGCATGGTGCAAATTGGTGGGATGTAAGCTTCCATTGCTCATAAACTACATCAACCTTGTAGCTCCAGGTCAAAGCTAAGGAAGCAAAGCATGGACGCCATCTGTATAATTGTCTTTTGTTAAGTTAAATTTTTTATTTTTATATTTTTAATTTTTAATGGACAGTGATGTGTTACAGCAATATGATCTCTGTGGTGACTCATTCAAGGAGAAACGTTCCAGAAGATCTACATTAGCCCCTATATGTAAACAGTTAATGATGGTTTAACCTGCCACCTTGAGACGTGTTTCAGCAGCATCGTGGTCTCTTTCCGAGAATACAGTAAACTTTACTGTGCAGAGCCACAGGTACTGACCTTGTAACACTTTTCAGGTGATTTCTGCACCCGATTCTAGTTTAACTAAGCCTGTGCATCATATTTCCACTTTCAGGTATCACCAATATCGGTTCCCCTTTTGACTCTTGGTTCCTCTCAGCATTTCTGCCTCAGGCTTTTAGGGAGTTTTTCCTGACTCTGTCTCCCTCAGTGACACTTATTAAGGGGCTGCACCCATATTTCTGCACAACTGCTATATGTGTTGTAAAGTCTGCTGTATTATTAGAATTAGAAATCGAACTAGATTTGCGTTTTCTGAAGGAAATACAGTTTTTACAGTGCAAGAAAATATCATAAAGTAATGATAAGGAATGAGTCACAGAAAATATGAATGTAATAACATGAGAAAGGAGGGAAGAAAGAGAATAATAGAAGGAAACAAGTAAGCAAATAAGAAAAAGACAAAGAAAAAGGAATGAGAATAAGAGATAGAATAAGAGAAAATAAAGAAGGAAAAAAGAAAAAAGGAAAAACAAGAAAGGAACAGAAGGAAGGAAAAGAGAACGAATGAAAAAAAGCAAGGAAGGAAGAAAAAAGGAAGTATGTAAAGAAGTGAAGAGGAAGAAAGAGAAAAGAAGCAAGGAAAGAAGAAAAAAGGAAGAACAAGAAAGGAAATGTAGGAAGGAAAAGAGAAAGAATGAAAGAAAGAAAGGAAGTATGGAAAGAAGAGAAGAAAAAAAGTATAGGGAAGAAAGAAAAGAAGAAAGGAAAGAAGAAAAAGAGGAAGAACAGAAAAGGAAAAGAAGGAAGAAAAAGAGAAAGAATGAAAGAAAACAAGGAGGGAAGAAAGAAAGGAAGTACGGAAAGAAGAGAAGACGAAAAAAGGAGTAGAAGAAGGAAGAAAAAGGAAGGAAAAGAAGGAAGGAAAAGGAAGGAGAGAACAATCGAAAGAAAGTAAGGAAAGAAGAAAAGAGAAAAGGAAGTGGAAGAAGGAAGAAAAAGAAAGAATGAAAAAAGCACGAAGGAAGAAAGAATAAAAAGAAAGAAAAGAAGGCAGGAAGAAAAGGAAAGAAGGGAATGAGGGAGGAAATAGAAAGAAAGGTTCCACCATGCAGGTCTATGGGTTTTTTTTATCAGTTTAACAGGTTTTTAAAAGTATAAAATTCTAAAAATGAACAATAAAACTCAGAAATCTACAGAGCAGTGTTTGAGTGGAGTTTGTATGAGGTGGTTTTTCCATCAGGAGAATAAGAGGAATATTGGGATAACAATATCGTGTTCACAGTGCAGGACCTGTAATTTGGCTTCATTGCTCTTTTATGTTTCCTGACAGACTGATTGCTACAGAGATGGCGCGTATTCATGCCATCCACGCCCACAACGGCTGCATCCCTAAACCCAACCTGTGGATCAAGATGCGCAAGTACTTCTCCCTAGTGGCCACCGAGTTCACCGACCAAGCTTCCAATGCCAGGTAAGCCCACCATGCCAGGCCGTTTTAGCTTTTAGTCCTTTTTTTGTGAAAATATAATCCTTACTGGTAAAAACCAAATTGTCACATGTAGACTTTTAATTCCTGATACCGAGAATTACATTTTTACTAGTAAAAATTTAATTTTTGATATCAAAAATTGAATTTCTACATGTGATGATTAAATTTTTACAAGTAAAAATTTTGTTCTTACTAGTCAAAATTAAAATTTCATTAGTGATAATTCATGAGTTTCCCTGTTCATTTTCATGGGGGAAACATTTTTACTAGTGAGAATTAAAGTTTTACTAGAGAAAATTTAATTTTCGCGTGTAGAAATTCAATTCTCGATGTCAAGGATAAAATTTTTACTAGTAAGAATTTAATTCTTGATATCAAAATATTTTTCACCAGTGAAAATTAAGTTTTTGATATCAAGAATTTAATTACATGTTAAAACATTCAGGTAGAACTTGGAACATTGTGTTTTCTACAAGTAAAAATAAAATTTTTACATGTGAAATTGAAGTTATTACTAGTAAAAATCTAATTTTCACAAGTAAAAATTCATAATTTGTGTTTTTACTACTTAAAATTAAATTCTAAATTAAGATTTCAAGAATTACATTTTTACATATGAAAATTAAATTTTCACTACTGAAAAAAAGGATTGAAAGCTATAACGGCTGGCCATAGACCACAGACACTCAAATGATGTCTAAACTAGAGCTGCAGCATTGCGTAGAGACTGCACAAACACAGGGGTTCAAGCAGTCTGGATTACCTTTACCTGACCAGGCAGTATTATTGATATAATGGTCATAATAAGGATGAGCACATCGATCAGGCCGTTATGTAACAGCAATCATCACCACTCTGTGAATTACAGAGACACTGGCTCTCAGAGGCCTGCTGATGTTTGCATTCCACTGTTTATCAGGAACGGCAAGGTCAATCCATGCAAAGTGGCTTGTGTCATATGGCAGAGGCAGTTATCGGCCATTAGTCCATCTGTGTCGGGCAAGGGCGTTCTCAAGAGGCCAAGGCCATCAAGGCAGGCTGCATGTTACTTTCTTTTATTCCTGGTCTAGAATTGGATTACTAGACAAATCTTACCTTTGTCAACTGTATCTTCTGTTGTAAGAGACCATTGTTTAATTGGATTATAGGGACATAAAGAGGCAGCAAAAGATTGAAATGAATTAGTTTTGCCTGTAGTGAAGGTATGTGTTGGGTCTCATCTATTGGGATGCCTCAATTAGGAGTAGTTAATATTCACGTTAGCGATAATAAATGCATATCTGAACAGTACTCTGTATTCTGTTTTTACATGTAACAATTCAATTAGAACTAGGAAAATTGTATTTTCTACAAGTAAAAATACAGTTTTTATTTTACATTAAAAAGTTATGAAGTTATTACTAGTAAAAATCAAATTTTCACAAGTAAAAATTCATAATTTGTATTTTTATTAGTTAAAATTAAATTCTTGATTTCAAGAATTACATTTCTACATATGAAAATTACATTTTCACCACTGAAAAAAAGGATTAAAAGCTATAACAGCTTGCCATAGAATTGGATTACTAGGCAATTCTTACCTTTGTCAACTGTATCTTCTGTTGTAAGAGGGCATTGTTTAATTGGATTATAATGACATAAAAAGGCAGCAAAAGATTGAAATGAATTAGTTTTGCCTGTAGTGAAGGTATGTGTTGGGTGTCATTTATTGGGATGCCTCAATTAGGAGTAGTTAATATTCACGTTAGCGATAATAAATGCATATCTGAACAGTATTCTGTAAAATTGATCTAAAAAAAAGGTAATTCTAAGCTAATATTCTCCCGTTATGTAAAATACATCATTGTTATGATAATAAAACATTGAAATGGTAATAAGAGATGGAAAAAATACTCTCAGCGTCTGTTAATGTGACTTAAAACTCGCAATTCTTGCTTTTCAAGCAACTTCTGTTGACTCATTTGTCATAAGTGTTTCCAATGGCAGCAACAGTGTAACAGCAACTTAACAGTTTGTTGTTGGTGACAACAAACTCGGAAAGCATGCGCATGGGAACGGTCAGCAACTCTGTCCTCCTTTCCAAGGACACCGTGTGGGTCAGTGCAGTCCATGACGTTGCAGGCCTGTATAAGCCTTCATTCCCATTTCCGTCTCGGAGCTGAAGGCCGCATCGTTTCAACCGTGATGACGAAGCACATCCGAGATTAGGGTCAAGGTGTGACTTCTACCCACGCCAATCTTACAGGGCGAACGGTGGTCTGCAGGTTTGTAGACGGCTGCTGCGCCGGGATTAGCCTACTAAGCCCATTACTCAGGGAGAGCGCTCCTCGCCACTGGCTTTCTCTGATTGGTTTAGCCACCCTCCCTCATTAAGTGACCTGATGAGTGGCGTGCGTCACTGGCCCATTCAGCGCATTCACGCTGATTGCCCTCTTCTAGAAAGTAGGTAATAGATACATGCAGAATGTTCTCGAAAGAGAAAGAAGAGATTATACTCCTCGGCAAAAAAAGGACCAAGTCCAAAACGGCAAAACATTAAAATATTAAGTTTTGAATGGTCTTAACAACAAATCATTAAACAAATAGATAAAGTAATTTAATATGGAGTAGCTTTTCCCTTTGATTTCTGTAACTGGTTTCGTGTGTAAATTTGCAGATGGCTTTTACAGAAAGAAGAGTGTCAGAGTCAGCTGAAAAACATTACTGAGCTAGTTTGTGCTTAATGTAAGACCAAATATTCTCTGTAGTAGAGGTCACTAACAGACGGACCGCGGCCCAAGTCCAGACCCAGATGCTGTCCTATGTGGACCTGGACCTATAACCGATAAACTAAGGAGAATTATTTAATTTTGACCGGGTGGTCCTGTTTTAATCGGCGTAACTTTTCTAGCCTTTACGGTAGCTTTAGCGGCCCGGGAGACTCACAGACCAATCACATGCACTGTAAATATCACACGTGCCGCTACTCAGCCAATCAGATCTGTGCGTTATGATGAGCACTGAGACTCGAGCGAGTGGCGCACACACAGGGGAGGGACGAGGCGAGAAACAGCAGTCGGAGAATAAAGTGAGTCAGAGGGAAATTATTTCACAGAGAAAACTGATGATAAACGTTGTTGAAATATGACTGAATTGTCCTTTATTTGATTTGACATTCGGTTGTTCACTGCATAAGATGTTGATATACCTACTAGGCTACTTTAGTAAACAGTATATGACACTGAATCATGATGCAAGTTATACATTATGATGTTCCGGACCTTTGCTTGAGGAAACGGTCTCTAACTGGACCTTATTGAATTTTAATTAAATGCCCCTGATCTGTAGGGTTTAAATCTGGACTCTGACCGACTAAAATCATCAATAAAAACCATTATACTTTGCCCTGGAGCACATGTTAAAAAAAGGCACCAATACTATTAACAGTTGCCAAAGTGAGGGAAGTCCCCTTCTCATGTTGATACAGGAAAAAGTTTACATACATTTACATAAATAAATGTAAGTGTAAGTGAATGAGCCACAGAGCATGGTCAAATGCATCACAGTAATGTATGTATAATTTAAAAATTAGTACGTAAAATGGATCCACCCTTTCGTTTATTTAATTTCCAGTCAGCACAAGTACAACCGCAAGATTTAAATTTTTCAGCATCAGAAAAAAAAGCAGGAATCTTGAAGACGAGTTACAGCTCCACCCGACAAACGCTATTCCCAGAAGTAAAGGTTTCACTGACATTAACATAATGTCAGTGTAACAGGGTGATAAAGGAGATATTTCCTGAAGGTCAGATACAAGACAGCCCCCTTGCATAAAGTAGAGGAAAGTCAATGAAAAAAACTGGAGTTTCCAAAACTGGAGTTCAAAGAATTGTAAAAGCCACAAAGAAAATGGGGCTCCTAACGACCACCTGGAAGACTTTGTAGAGACCAAAACTGTCATATAAACAGCACTTAAAGCTTTTGTCTTTGAGAGAGAGGAGAAAATTGAGCTTCACTCTTGCTTCACATCTGAAAAAAAATCCACAGGTGTTTCTTCCACTGTGACAACAGCTCAACACTATGGATCTGAAAGGATGTGTAGCTGTCAAGTATCAGGTTTCTGAGACAAGCAAATGGACAAAAAAGAATAACATTTGGAGTTTAGGTGTGGGGTAATGTTTTATGGATTGACAAATCTAAATTTGTAATTGGGATTATGTGGATTGTGAGGGGGCAGTCGTGGGCTGGAGGTTAGGGAACCAGCTTGTGACCGGAAGGTCGCCAGTTTGATCCCCTGAGCCAACAGTACGTGACTGAAATGGCTCCTAACCCTCAACTGCTCCCCGGACGTCATGGATAGGGCTGCCCACCACTCTGGGCAAGGGTGTATGTGGTGTTTCACTGCACGGATGGGTTAAAATGCGGAGGTGAAATTTCTCCGTTGTGGGACTAATAAGGGTCACTTAATCAAGAATGGAAGGTGTAATAAATAGTTTAAACTACATACTGAAAAAAGAAAATTATATTTAGTTGTTAGGCTTCAAATTTTGTGTTAAAATACGTTTATATATTTGTTTTACTGGTGATAAATATGAAAATCTTGTACTTTTAATAAAAGGGTGAATGGGGCTTATTCACAGTACTGTAGAGTAACATTATGTGGCAGAAATATTGATAAGTCCATTGGGCTATTGATTAATCATGGCAGACATTTTTATTTAACAGGAGCAATGATTGCCCAGCTGGCGCTGATGCTTCCATGGTAGCATAAAGTCATTTTATTTGTCCATTTTTAAGGGAAAAAAGTGCAGCAGGCAGATCTCATAAACCACCATTCAGTTTTCAGTTGGTTATGCTCCGTCGTCCGGCCTGTATTTGGGTGTATTCTGTACTTTGCAGCCGTAATTCGGATGTTTACTGATGTCTGGACGTATTAAGGCAATCTTTGTGCAGGTGGATGCCAGAAAGGACTCAACTGTTTACGTGTTCCCTTCCCTAGAATCCGTCAGGAAGTCCCCAGTAAGGAAGTGCTGGAACAGGAAATGACATGGATGAAGGAACACCTGTCCCAGCTGGGCTCTCCAGTGGTCCTCTGTCACAACGACTTGCTCTGCAAGAACATCATTCACAACGTAAAGGAAGGTGAGTGATAAACACTGTTACACCTCCGTTAGAGGAACACACTGTTTGATGGTGATAAAGCATGTTGTTTATTATGAAATGGTTTTGGGTGGGTGGTGGCTGTTGGTCGAGTAGATTTGGCTCCTAAGGCCGTACTTCTCTACCATTTACGCACTTGAATTCCGTTTCCTCTTCCGAAACGTCCTGTTAAACCTTTTCATCCTGTTTTCTGTTGCTTTTCTAGGCCACGTGCGATTTATAGATTATGAGTACTCCAGCTACAACTACCAGGCATTTGACATTGGGAACCACTTCAATGAGTTTGCAGGTGAGGACCCCCAGAGAGAATAGTGAAGTGTCCATGAACTGATCACACACCGCATCAGGACTTTGAAGCCATGTTCCACATATTTGCATCATAAAGTTCAATTCATTTTAAGTTTGTCATTATATGCATGCACAAGAGTGCAGCATAACTAAACGTGTTCAGGCTGTTCTCGGGTGAATAAGACAATAATACAAAATATTCTCAATATCACAGCAGCAAAATATACAGTATTTGGAATGGACAGATAATATAAGTAATATACTGTGCAAAAGAGTTGAGGCTGTTATTGCAGCAAAGGAGGACAAACTCCCTATTAATACCCTTGATTTCCGAAGAAAAATTGGATGAAATTTTGCGCATTCACGTCTAGGGGTAGTGTCGTGACCATTCTGGACACTTATCTCTAATAAGTCTGGACATTTATCTCTAATATTGTCTATACTGTTGCCCTGATAACTAACTGTAATCCAACGTCTTCAAAAGGAATTTCAATAAAAATGAACAAGGATAAAATGGAATGGAGTTCTCATGGAAGGAAGGAAAATACGTTCGCTTTTGAGCCTCAGTTGGCAAGATGGTTTCCGAACAACCAAAATGCAAAGACAGTCTAAACACATCCCTTTTTTATTCATCCTCTGGGGTGATGAGGAAAACACCCCACCCCTTTTACACAATTCCATACCATTTTAGTTCCCATCATATCTAAAATGTACCCCTTTTTTGGTAGCCCTTAAAACCAAACGCATATGATATCTTTTAAAAAAAATAAATAAATAAAAAAAAAACCCACTCTGGTCTAGCCCGTACCAGGCTGTCCCATCTTTACAGGGCCATCTTACACAATTCTTCATATATGTTCAAAAGTTCATCCAGCTATAGCTTAAACTGTCATCTGGTACAACTTTCTTCTGTGAGTTCAAAAGTTCATCCCAGTCAGAAATTCCATGCACGCAGCCTATGGCCCATCCCCTTTAGGAGAGTTCCTAACTCTAATGAGCGAATATTTAGTTTATTGATTATTAATCAAGGACGTTTTATTCCATTTTTGCTATCAGTAGGGTGTTCAGATTTGTGTTGAAGTTTTAAGGCTACACGGCTCTCCAAACAGAGGTTTTTCAGAGACCCCAAACAGAGTGATATGAGGAAAAAAGAAAAACTGGCAAGATGTCTGAACAAGAGACCAGAGAAACCCACAAATGTGAGAATTTTCTCTGTTAAAAATGAAAATAACCTTTGTATCGTCTTAGTTTAGTGTTCTTTTAGTATATTATCGTCCTTTTCTTCATAACAACCATAAAAAATCACTAGTATTATGCTGATGTCTCGGCAGCTAGCTAAATTTCCCGTTCCACCTTAAATGATGCATCTGTTACATTCTGGCGCCTCAGGTGCCAGAACTGCTGCTCCATTTAAGGTGGAACAGGAAAATTTGAACATGAAGCTGGTTAATACCTGACTTCAGCTTCATATCACTGAAGAATTAGGGGTGGGTGATAATAAATAATTGCCTCCCTCTCTGAAGGCATACGATGCCCTAAACGTAACTAAAGCCCAGCAGTGAGGAGCTGAACTTTACCCTCCTCTGCTGTCACTGCAGACTGGCAGTGTCACCTACAGAGCAGCGCTGGTAGCTGTTAATGAAGTAATGTTCTTTTTATTTGAGTGTCCCATTTCATAGGGGGACATTTTAACTACTACACCCTGTAACTTACTTCCAAGGGGCAAGTTGACACTTGAAACCAAGGGGAAAGGGTAAAAATAAGAAATGGGATTGGGCCCAAAGTACGGTGCAGTTTGTAAACAAAAGCAGATGCTAGTAGATTTGAACTCAGTTGAATATATATGTGCACATGTTCTCTGTTGGTCATGAAAGTGAGTGAGTAAAGGTGTTTTTGTGTGTGTGTCACAGGGATGAGTGAACTGGACTACAGTTTGTATCCCAGTCGGGAGATGCAGCTGGATTGGCTGCAGACCTACCTAAAGGCCTATAAACTCTTCAGTAAGAAAGGGGAGGAAGTGAGCCAGCGTGAGATAGAGACACTCTACGTGCAGGTCAACAAGTTTTCTCTGGTGAGTAACTCGATAGCAAGAACAAGAGAATGAAAAACAGTGAAGCAGAGAAGTAGAAAGTTTTCCTTTTAACTCAGATGTAGTTGATCACGCAAGACAAATTTGGTGCTGAAAGTTCATTCGTTTTGCGTTGGAGTTACTACAAAGCTAATGTACCTGACAAGTAAGGACCGTGTTGGGGTAGTTACTCAGAAAAGTGACCTTTTACAGATTGCTAATTAACTGTAATGTAATTCATAAACTGATTACTTCCTGGAAAAGTAAGTTCACTCATTACGTCTGCATTGCTCTCTTAATCCCATACAAATCTGAACCAGCTGGAAAGTATATGAGAGAACCCAGTAGTCCTTCAGAACTTTATTTAGAAAGAAAGAGCCGGTCACAGTAAAAATCATTTAAAAGGTCTGTCGCTGTTCTTGCCTTTGAACAGGACACAGTGAGTTGTGCTGATTAAAGTCACAGTAGGCTGAAGTTATTTGAAAAACTAGAAAATAATCAGTACATACATGCATACATCATCTAAACCGCTTATCCTTCTGGGTCGCGGTGGGGTGCTGGAGCCTATCCCAGCTGTCATTGGATGGAAGGCAGGATACACCCTGGACAGGTCGCCAGTCCATCACAGGGCAGACAGACAGACATACACATTCACACACACACTCACACCTAGGGGCAGTTTTAGCATGTCCAATTAGCCTGACTGCATGTTTTTGGACTGTGGGAGGAAACCGGAGTACCCGGAGGAAACCCACACAGACACGGGGAGAACAGGCAAACTCCACACAGAAATGCCACCGTGCCGCCCATAACTAATCAGTAGTTACAGTTTAAAAACAGCAGCTGCAACATAATAAAAACATAAAAAATGAATAAACTGTAAAGCATAAACAGCTGATTGAGGAGATATATATATATATATATATATATATATATATATATATATATATATATATATATATATATATATATATATATGTGTGTGTGTGGTAGTATCTAGTGTAATATTAGCATGATCAGATGCTTCAACAGATTGCTCACCCAGTTAGTACCACACGTGCATAAATTATGAACAAGGACAGCCACAGATAATCTATATAGAGGAAATGTATGAAAAGAAAAGCAATTCCTAGTAAGTCACTGACTTTAATGCATTTTGCTGTTGTCAGAAGAAAACCTTGTATCTCCGAAATGGTAACTTTACAGGAGAAGGAAAAAACATACTTTACTTTTAAAGTTAATGGAACCAGACTTTTTTCCCCAAGTCATTTTGGGCCGTTTCTTTTGGCTCATTCATAATGAAATTTACGTACAATGTAAAGACCAACAGGCGTTTTCAGATTATGTAAAAAACTGAAAAACGATAAAAAGAGATTTTTCTTCCGACAATGGCAATTTACAAGAATTTAAACTATAGTGAGTTATACTACTTAATTACAAGGAAAAGTAATCGCAATACTGTAACATGGTAATTTGTATTGTGTTGCTTTGTATCTTTGTACTGCTTTACCCCCAACACTGGTAATAGAAGCTCATAGTAGAACATTGTTGTCTATAAAACTAGATAAATGTATGGACACAGTTTAGTTCGGGCACCATTTAACATGGGCACTAGTACAGTTTTAGCTATACTGTTGCCCCTCTTGTCCTGTGCTTTCAGTTGGAGATGAATGGTAGAGGATTGTGTGTGTCAGATTGACTTTGGCAGTAACTTCTTGTTCCTCTCTTTTGACAGGCGTCACATTTCTTCTGGGGTTTCTGGGCTCTGATCCAGGCCAAATATTCCTCCATTGACTTTGACTTCCTTGGGTAAGCAGCTGCCCAAGTACTCCTTCTATCTTTTTTAATGGAAATGACTTTATGCAGAAACAAGTATTGTCAGAACACATTTCAGTTATGTAGCACATATAAGGATATAAATTATCACCTGCACAAATGGTCATACTTTGTTGGTTGAGTTGAATACTGTTGTTGCCTTTAGCTTTTGAAGTCTATCAAATAAAAATGTCCAGTTTCACATTTTAGTATTCAGACCAGCGTTTAATTAAAATTGCGTTGAACAAAAAGAAAAAATCTAGTATTTTTTTAGATGAACGCCAAACATTTTGCTATTTAGTTGCAGTATTTTCCCAACTAAGGCTCAGACATTTTTAATTTAATTTGAAAGCCAGCTTTGATCACAAAGTCAGTGAAATATTAGATTTACTGGTGTGATCAAATATCTTTACAGCCCTGAAATGATGTGTTCAGGATATGTAAATGGAATCCACAGAGCCAGGAGACCCTGATGTGAGGCTTTTGTACATATTCTCAAGTTTACTCTGCAATGCAAATAAATGGGCTACATAAATAGCTGCAATAAGTATGCAAATAGCCTACATAAGCAAAATGGGAGGCTTGTTATTTATTTCCATAAAGCTGTCTGGGGCAGGCAACATTTGCATTTGTGTACATTTGTCCTGACCAAATCTCTATTGAATGGTCAATAATCCCCAGGAAGTGTGCATGAAAAAAATGAATGCTTGAAATTTATCAGCAGAGAAGCCTGCTTGTCCGATCGGTGCTGCGCAACTACACATGGAAAAAAATGTAATGTAGTTCTTTGCAATTAATGCGTAATGTTCGATATGTGTTCTAGTGTTGTTTTAGAGAACCTGGTGTGAAACTGACCACCTAATCTACCAAGGATACCTGGCCTAAAGTGGACTCAGCACCTCCTGTGTTAATAACAAGTAGTGACTGTAACATTAATGTCTCTTGTATCTTAAAAAATACATTGACTTAGGACCCACATTGTGGGATGGGTTTATGAATGAATGGCCTGACTGGGGGTGATGCTTTTCTCTGAAGCTCCCCTACGGCAGCGTATGAAAGAACGTAGATTGCTGTGGCTACTGTCAACAGAAGCCTGCGGTGTCCGTTTGCAGGGTGAAACGTAGAAACGTGAGCCAACAGAAAGCACTGCCTTTGGCCTGCCACCCCAGTGTGTCTGTGGCGGGATCTTTGTTGTCACGTAAAACAAACTCTCGGTGATGAAAATAACCCCGCATGGTTCCACATGCAACATAATAGCTCCTGCTCCCGTCCCAATAGTGACATCAGTTTTCACTGGTGTCGGGCTTTGAAGCTGCAGTCGGAGAAATAAAATGTGCTGTTTTAGGGTTATTATGCAAGTGCTGCCTAGTACAGGATTAGACAGGATTTGGTGTTTGTTCCTAGAAAACTGAAGGGTTATCCAAAGAAATCTACTTTCCTCTTCATTGGTCATCGTTTCACCCTTTATACACTCTTAGCAAAAATACTGTCTGTCCAGCAACAGTTGATTCACACCAGAGTTAAACCTCCTACGTCTTGTCCTGCTCAATTGAACTTTATTTACATCGCCCCTTCAGTACTTTACAAGTATCACAATTCAGTTTAACATAAGATAAATCAGTAAATAAACAAAGCAACGTCAATAGATGAAGGACTATAAGAATGAAAATAGCATCTATAAAAGTTAGGATCCAAGAAAAACTAAAAACAAAAATGTTTTTAGATTTAAAAACTATAATTTTTGAACATTGTTGTACATTTTTGATAATGTTTTTACTTCTCTTTTTTTCGCAGTTATGCTGTGCTGCGCTTCAATCAGTACTTCAAGACCAAGCCCATGGTAATGGCCCTCAAGATCCCAGAGTGAGGAGAGTAGAGCAGTGGCACTGCCCTGCTCACTGTCCTCTGACCCTGGAAGTAGAAGCACTCTTTCCGGCTTGGTTTAGGTGCGGTGTACCGCAAGTGTGGATACTAGGGTGAGTTGAGTTTAAGTCAGGCCACATCTCTCAACCCCACTGACAAAAAGCCAATACCCTTTTTTTTTTTTTATTTCTTCCTGACAAACTCGATCCACCTTGGTGTCTTCACTTCCAGCCGATCAAGATTCCATCAGAAGATTAGGCACTTTTGTGTTTTGTTTCTTTTTACAGCGTATTTATTTCTGTTTCCCTGTTTTTTTATTTATTATAGAAAGCAGTTGCCCAAATGTGTACATTTCTTCCCAGCAAAAGCAGCCTATGACAAAGCAAATGTACAGTAGATTCTATGCATTTAGGATTGCTTTGAGACTGCTGTGGGCCTTTGCAGTGCGTGTGCCTGGGAAACATTTTAAAGGTGGTTTGCAGTGAAGGGACATTACTGGTAACTGCGTTTGAGCCGAATAGAATCTGACCTGTTAACTCGTTGTAATAACAAATCTCTGCTGCCTAGAAAAAAGAACCAAAAATGAGCCGGCAGACCTGAAGTAGTGCTTCTGGGAGTAGGGAGGCCAAGCTGGTCGACTGACCGTGAATTCTTTTTGTTTTTTTTCGTTTTTGAACGGCGTTCCAGAACATTCCTGAGACGTTAGGGCCGCAGGGGCCATTCGCCCTCCACTGTCCGAGGACCAGGCTTTTTCTGCCTTTTAGACTTTTATGGTAATTAGTAGCTCTGTTGAATTTTCCATTCATCACAGGTGGTGGAAAATCCCAGCCGCCCTCACCTTTTGCCCTCGCATCACCTGGCGAGGGACGTACCGGGTAACTGAAGAGCTTCATCCGTTTGACGTCCGCAGTGCTTAGCACTCTTGGCACTCTCTTCTAATATCTAAGCCCTCCCCAAAAAGTGTCATCTGCCCAGCAGTTTCCCAAAACAGGAAAAAAGACTCTGAAATTATGTAAAGATGTTGCGTAAGTTGATTCAGGTCGGCAGATGTTGAGGCTGCACGTTGGCTCGTCTTTCTCAAGCATTAAATTCTAGATTACTGTTTCTGTGGCATCGGAGACGAGCGAGGCTCTCAAATTTGACCCCCCCTTAAACCGATATGGCCTGGTGTGAGAAGGTCATCCAAATTCTGACTGGTGAGCTGCCTCAGGTTTAAAGTGGTCTTCCTCTGTGGGACCCTCCAGTCAACTTGAATCTCCACTAATATTAGTAATCATAACTAACCGTCTCATTATATGGTACTTCTTCGCCTTTAAGTACCTTATTTTAATCGTTTTTGTTGAATTTTTCACTAACCCTGTTTTTTCACGTATCACTTCAAAGCTGTTCCGCTTCCCCACTGATTAGAACATTCCATTATGTACTCGCTCCGCAATTTCGGCTTCATCAAAGTCAATTGTTCTGGAGCGATTCCTAAAACAACATCATCTGTGTGAGATATCTGTGGTAGTTTGACCGGGAAATGCACAAATGTAATTTATCCTGATCAAATGTAGGCATGCGTCAATCAAATCAATGTTAATCCTTGTTTTGCACCCCACCCTCCCTCCCCCAACCTGCATGTTGGAAGTGGTTTAGAGTCTGTACTGTTTCACACTGCAACCTTTGCTTTAGGCAGTTTCTCCAACCCAAGTGTCCTTCTCACTGGAGGCCAGTTCAAACCCTGATCCTAATGTAGTCCAGTGGCATTCGCAAAGGTATATGAAGGCATTAAAATTGGTTCTGAAGTCTGTAGGTACGCATTGAAGGCTCTGGGCTCAAGCTAGCCTCGCACTGCTGCTCAGGTGCACCCAGGCTGACGTATGTTAATGGTTGATGATGCTAGTTAATAATGAAACAGCCAAAGCTCCAGGCAATAACTGGAACCAGGAGGCCCCTCAAAACACCATGAATAATTTTGTAGCCAGTGAGTCGCTAATGATCCCTAACGACCTGATGGCGTATCGCAGACAGAGTTTAGTCTGCCTCTCTGGCTTCTTCCTCTTCTCTGTGCTTCTGTTCCAAAAAGCCCATTTTAAGAATGATTTGAAGCTTTACAGTCTGCTTTCTGTGCGGTGGTCCGCAAAACACTGGCTGAGATAGAATTTCTCGAGCGAGTTCAGCTTGAGCGCTAGTTCCACATAATAAAAACGCAGTGGCATTGCTTAAGTGTTTCTTGTAGATGTACATATGTGAATGTGGCCCATGAAGATGCAAAACCTCCCAAGGAAGTTACTAAAGGAGTGCTAAGGAATGCAAAGACGGCAAACTGTGAGTGAAAGCTAACAGGGACCAGTTAGCACGATTATAATGGACACCTTCTAGCTTTCGTTCATTACTGTCATCGTTAGAACGTTGGGTGGTTTTTCTGTACTGGGGAAATCCAGTAGATCCCAGAGGAACCAGAAATGAAGGTGTTATTGGGACACCAAGTTATGGCTGTTTTATTAGTTCATTGGCTTACAGGTCTGCAGCTCATAATACAGAAAGTAGGGGTGGGTAATATGTCAAACGTGCGTCACAGTACTTACGTATGATATGCATCACAATATTTCATTTTTCTGAGGTTTGTTAAGTTGGAACAGACAAAAAAGAGCTATAAAGGGAGAGCAGGCGCACACTAACACAGTGAAATGTTACATGGATATTTTGTTGTTAAACAGGTTCGAATGAAACATGGTTTCAGTTGTTTTCTCGTATTTCTTTAACAACACCGTTTGTGAATTTTGACGACAGTTGAACGGATGTTTATGGAAGTCCAGAGAGGCCATGAGGTTGTTATGATTTTCTAGAGTGTTATCTTGAGATAACAAGTTAATTATCATGTTATCTTGAGATAACAAAGTTGTAATCTTGAAATAACAAGTTAACTTTCTTGTTTTGAGAAAATGAGTTCAGTATCTTCTATCGGTATCACAAGACAGCTAACTTGTTATCTCAAGATAACAATTTTGAAAATTATAGCAACAGCTCATGAGGTAGTTATAATTTTCTGGATTGTTATTTAGAGATAACCAGTTAAGTATCTTGTTATCTCTAGATAACAAAATTGTTATAATTAATATTGTTAAAATTAACTCATTATCTCAAGATAACAATTTAGAAAATTATAGCAACGGCTCGTGGCCTCTCCTACGGAAGTTCAGAGAGGGCATGAGGTAGTTGTAATTTTCTGGATTATAAAATCATTATCTTGAAATAACAAGTTACTTATCTTATCTCTAGATAACAAAAGTTGTTATCTTAAGATAATGAGTTAATTGTCTTGTGATCTCAAGATAACAACGATGTTTTTCTTGAAATAACGGGTTATTTATGTTATTTCAAGATAGCAAAATTGTTATCTTGAAATAACGAGTTCCTTATCTTGTTATCTCAGGATAACAATCCAGAAAATTATAGCAACAGCTCATGGCCTCTCCAGACTTCAGTAGATATTACAATAAAAGTTCGTTTTTCATCAGAAGTGTTTTTGATTACTAAGTTGTGTATCAAATTCACATCTATATTATTTTAACTGCCCTCTGAAGGCTGCACCACTTTAAAGCTCCACATGGCGGAGTTAGTTTCAACATAGTGCTACAACTCAACCTCCCAGGTGTATAAAAATAAATAAGCCTCGTCATGTTCTAGACGTTTCTGTGTGAACTAGATATCAAGATGTGATCTAGATCTATATTAATACTAGATCAAAACTGTGATCTAGATATTTTGAGAATATTTCTGTTTTATTGTGCTAATTTGCGCTCCTACTTTACGGTCAAGATAAACGTGTTGCTTATTTAAAAACAATGAATCTTGCTCAGATATTTTTGAAATTAATAAGAAAAAACTAAGTGTGTTAGGTTGTTTTAAAAAATGCTGTCAAAAAATATAAATACAATGATTATCATTCAACGTTTCGCACACGGCTGTGCACTAGACACAACTAACCAGACCTAATTATGCTCCTTGTAATTAATGCAGCTGATCAGTGTTCTTTAAGTAATCATATCCGTATTGTGCTGTGATGTGACACAGTTTATCACAATAATAATAAATCTCATCGTATTGCCCACCCCTATTTCTGCTGTTTATGAAGTCAGACTCTTAATCTCAGTGAAGAGTTGGGTGATGAAATGGGAGAGAACTTCATGAAGGTCCAGGTTTTACAAAGCCAACATGTACATTAAGTAGCACTATTTTAGTAGTGTGTTCAAAATCATTAATAAACCTTATTACATTTATTTTTTTAAACGACCTTGTAAGCATATTATTCCATGGCTGTGTGTTGGAAGGATTATGTACCGAGATCACTTGTGTTTGTTTTTTTGTTTATCGTCTTCTTTTTCCTTTCCTCTGATCCTCTGTTTGTGTTCTGAACATACCAAAAGAATTAGTTTTTCACAGCTTGCAGTTCTTTTGAGATTATTTTGTGAATGTACTGAACTGACTTGAAACAGTGTACAGATAACATTGTGTTGCTCTTAATCTCTGTAGACGTCTGTATTTTATTTTCTTTTTGTACTTGCAATTGCCTGAACTGGACTGAACCGAAAGTTCTCTGGTTTGTTGTTGATGTGAAGACGGGCTGCTGTGTGTTTGGTTCATCCTCCGCCAGCAGAGGGCGCCATTGTTTTACTGTGAAGGGCACAGACGGCGGAGAAGGGAATGTAAATACTGTGAAATATTGTGAAAAATACAATACTGTACTGTACAATGACCCTTTTCACTTCTGCTTAAGTGCTGGGGAGAGTAACATTTTGTTCATAAATATTTCCATTAAAAATGCTGTCTAAATTAAAAGTTCTGTTTTTTTTTGTTTTTTTTTTGTCTTCACTTTTTCTACCAAGATGTTTTAACATAGTTAAGAATTAAGAGTATCTTGTTAATAATATATGTCGTCCTGTGCAAAAGTTAGAAACCAGCTCTCATTTATTTAATTTCGATTAAGTAAAAGTTATTAAATATATGCTGTGATATCTTCTCTATGTCCAGCAATTCAAAACTCCAGCTAATTCAATATAAAACCCTTCACAGAACAAATATCACAGCCTCTAAACTACACCGTATGGGATTCAGTCACAGTGATAAATGCCAACATTGGCCAGCTTTAACAGACAACTACTATCATGCTTTCTGGAATTGTCCCCCGACCCAGCAGTTTTGGTCAGAGGTCATGGACAGGCTATCAGAGATTTTGGGCCTTGTCATCCCTTTATGTCCCATTGTAGCGCTACTTAATGACCTTTCCTCACTCTCAGCACCCAATCACCTCAAATGCTTTATATTCATATCACTTACCATTGACAGAAAAGTTATACTGCTAAACTGGAAGGACAGAACCAAAATATCAATAAAAATTTTTGATAACTACCCACGTAATAATTACATAATAAAGTTACTGCCTTGTTTATTGTTTTGTTAAGTGTTTGCGTTTGTCTGTCCTGTATGTCCAGTTTGTCATTATTATTATTATTATTATTATTATTATTATTATTTTATCCTTTCTCTTTACTTCTTCTGTTTTGTCTCTGTTATTTCTGTTCCTTGTTTCACTCAAAGCAGGGGGTGGGTGAGAGGGTGGGGGGTGGTGTTTGGAGGGGTGTTGGGTGGTAGTGGTGCCATATCACCTTATATCTATATGATCATTAACAAACGATGAGTTGTGACATTAATAACGAAGTGAAAAGAAAAAAAATAATAATAATTATGTCCCCTGGAAAAGGGGGGGGGTGGTGGTGTGGCCAAGGAATGTTGGCTCGGGAATATTAAAAAAAAAGTAGAAGTTATTGATTTTTCTGCATCAGGAGAAAAAAATGGTATTTTAATTCCACAAAAGACCTAAATAGATCAGTTTTTTCAGTATTTAGTGTGTCCACCGTTTGCCTTTATTACAGCTTCCATTCTTTTCAGGAGATTTGCATCCATTTATATTAACCCTTGTGTGGTGTTCAGGTCTGTGGGACCCGTTTTCAATGTTTACCGAAAGAAAAAATGGTGTGATTTATTATTATGATTTGAACCTCAGATTCTTGGTCTTTGCTCATTTTCTGTGAAGAACATATAAAATAACCCATTTTCAGTGTCTTCACTCTGTTCACCCCCCACACATTTATATTACACATGTGGTGTTGGGTGAACCTGCGGGGAGTAAAAGTGTGGAGGTGCTGTGTCCTTCACTCAGTTCTCCTCCTACACGGCCTGCTGTTAGTGTGTGTCTGTGTGTGTGTGTGTGTGTGTGTGTGTGGGTGGACAACATGGACAGGCTGCTGACTGGCTACAGCTGCTAAAGGAGAACTCTACAATGGCCACTTGTGATATTTTAAACATCTGGTATTTTTACATAAATTGTTATGGCTGTATTGATTTTTGTATTGTATTGAGTCACAAACACATCAACACCACTCAAGGGTTAAAGAACTCTGCAGGGATATTTTTCTCTCTTTGGGTCTGAGAAGTTGCGTTTTCTGTTTCTCACGATCTGAATCGTCACAAACACCTTCGGTGACTCAAAGCTTTGAGCGCTCTTTATCTGATGGGGACAGGTTTGGTGGTCTGCAAGGTTTTGCACAGTCGTTGAGTCTCATTTTCTCTATATCGTTTAATCAGTTTAATCACTGTTTTTGATCTCCAGTTCTAGAGACAACTGTTTTTTTTTTCACTGATTTTCATTTTCCTGTTTTTTATGCAATTTAATTATTGTCGTGAAAAATTAAATAACTTGTAATTAATGGCCGTTTTGACTGGAAACGAAGTGAATGAAGGCTCTCTGACTTTTTCATGGTACTCTATAACGTTATTACATTTTAATGTAGCGGTAATAAACAGGTTGGCGTATGAATAGAGCACTGTCATTAACTGTAGCTACAGCTTTACACCGTATCATCCTTTGTTAAACATGATTAATGAAGAACGTCGTGTGGTCATTTATGTAAAGCGTCTTAAAGAGCGTCCGAACGCTCCCTGTCTGTTTAATAGGGTTTCCGGTCAAACACTTCAGTTTCCTCCTTGAACTCTTGTCTGTCTCTCCTGCCTGATGACCTGTATTCTGTCCCTGTGGCTCGGCAGGCGAGCAGGGGAAGTCTGCTATTGAGGATATCCTGAATAAAACACAAAGAGACTCGCAGTCCAGCGTCCTCAAGGCTAATGTTGTCACTCAGCCTCTTGTCTTGAGTTATTATACTCCATCTAGAAACGGGAAGGACAGCACTGCAGTTTAGAGGCGTCTAGAATTTCATACGATAATGTCCAAATCTGTCTCAGTTATACTGTGCAAACTTCTCAGGCTCTGAGAGCCGAAGTGTTTAAAACCATTTACCTCAGCAGACAGTTTGATCTTGTCTGTAAAACATGATGGCCGTGTTGGGTGAGCTGTGGTCAGATGATGTGTTGTTTTCTGAGTGAAAATAAGTGAACATGTCCTCTACTGAGACACACTTCTGCACACTGCAGCCTCTGAAGCTCCTTGAGACCACCGGTGGTTCCAGAACGCACTTTGTCATATTCTTCATAACTTTCATATTTCATAAGCTACACTCTAAAGCTGGGGGTCGTATGAGAGCTGTAACTGTCTTCTTTCCAGTCAAATAGATGGGTGATGTAATTTTAAACCCTTATAATAAAAGAAGCTGAACTCTACTGTCTACTGAAAGTCGACCCATTTTTCCACAAATCTGGGCTATAAACTATAAACAGATGGCGTCTCTTCAGTGATCTGCTCTGTACAAATTACTTTTATAAAATAATACAAAGAGCGTCTAAGATTTTTGGCTTTCAGCAGTAAATTGTAAGCATATAGCAATATGTATATGATCATAAAACACGTTCTGTTAATCTGAGGGGAGCTTTTACAAAACAAAAAATTAATAAATAAATAAATAAAAAATTTACATTTATTTCATGCAGTTACTGAATAATTTGCCTTACGATTTGGTCATGAAAAATCAGATGGACAAACCAAAATATACCCTGGAGCATAAGAGGTTAATACACAGTTGCTGCCTATTTGCTGAATTTAACACATTGGAAACAAAAATAAATAAATAAAAATAAAATTTAGGGCACATTTTCTATTTTATTTTTATTTATTTTCAATATATAGCAACAAAGATACATTTACAGGAAATGTCTGTTTTAAGTTGGTTCTCTGTTCACTGTAAAAAGTGGCTCATCAGATTTACTTCATGCGGTAACAAGTAAATAAATCGACCTGAGTGAACGATTCTTTCAATCAAAACTAGTTCAACTGCTCGTTACTACATGAAGTATTTTTAATTAGAGCTGACGAGTCGTTTTTACAGCGCAGAGGATGTTAACTTTTTCATTTAACCAGGGGTTTAAAAACATTTGCATTTATAACAATAGAATACATTCAAATAAACATTAATGCACTAAAAAAATAATACATTATGTTTTTCAAAAAAAAAAAAAAGATTCTGTGAGCTATTTTGAAGAACACAAGGTTTGGTTCTGGACTGGTCACCTCAGTGACCATAGATTTGTTAGATTCCATCACCAGCACATCTGATTTAGCTTTAAAAATGGCTAAACACACAAACATAAAATCATTATTATGTTGATGTTATGATATTAATAAAATTACATTATTTTCATTTATTTATTTATTTGTTTGTTTATTAATATAGAATTACAAAATGTTTATTTATTATTTATTACATTATTTGTTTTTATTCTAATATTAATGTTTTTTCTGAGTTAATAAATATTAACTTCCCAATAAAATAGCTTTTTAATATAATTTTTTTTCAGGTTTTCTCAGGCTTGTGCAGCGTTGTTTGTTTCATACACTCATATGCAAAAGTTTGTACACCCCCTGGTCAAATTACATGTCTAGTTGATCTTCAAAGTAAAAAATTAAATGATTTGCTGAATTTAATATAATGGAAAAAAATAAAACATAAAATGCAAAATGTGCCACAACTTTTTCTCAGCCCACATTTTGTTTTATTTTTGCTTTATTGTAAATATAGTTAAATAGTTAAATATAGCAAATAAACAGTAAATGTGTGTTAAAATGTGTAGAAGTGTGTTCTCTGTGGAGGAGGTGTTCACTTATTTTCACTTAGAACATGAGGAAAATGTATATTGTGTAAGTTTTCTGAGCATAAATCAAAAAAGACTTTTCAAATCAGTCAAACCGAGTGGCTAAAAAGTGAGTTGTCAATCACATCATATTGAGCTCATTCTTTTGGTCGCATGGGATTTACTGTCTTTATCAAAACAGTAGAAAATCCAAATGTGATTCTAAATAATAGTATAAAATTTAAGTATAATAATGATGTAGTCAAATTTAAATGGCTACATTTATTGTATAACTAAGAAATAATTTCATTACTTTAAATCAATAATACGTTGTGTGGCATTTCTCCTCATCATATTAAAATGAAAGAGTTAATATAGGATGGAATGTAAATGGTAATGCCCTACAGTCAATTTCAATATGTTTGCCTTCTTTTAATAACCGTTTAGTTGATGGTTCTTTAGAGCAACATCCCTGTTCACTCTCAGAAATCAAGACGGTAAACTTTCACTGGGGCAGCCCCCCTCTTGTCACTGGGTTGGGACCCTCATGGGTACATCTCAGTACCTTTAGTCAGGGAACATAACTGAACCATAATCCACTGAAATGATATGTTCTAAGCTGTACTGACTCCACACACCCCGTCTCGCCTCCAGGCTTTTATTTTACTGTTCTGTTTTAAATCATTTGGTTATGAAAAGGTACAAATACGAACTTTTCACCTGGAAAAACTTATTTAAGGTTCACAATCAGACCTTAAAACCACTGTTGAATCTTTGAGGGAACGTTTACACTGTTTGAACCTTGATGAACCTGCAGAGAATCTTAATTTCTGACAGTGTAAAAGAGCTGTGAGTGTGAAGAAGAAAAAAACCTCCTTAAATTTTAAGAACCTCCACATAACGCAAAGTTTTTGTACCAATTTAAAAGCCCAAACCATTTAGGAACCTTTAAGAAGGTGTAGGAAACAGTTCTTCCATTTATCACGGGTAAAACGCGCCCAGGCGAAGAAAACGTGGACTGGCACTTTTGAATGAATTCAAATCATTAAAAAGTTTCAGATGTGGTGAAACTGGGGGGCCACATTCTCATTACCACGTCTCTACAGTGTAGGACTGATACGCAGGGTAAACCGCGGTCTGTTTCATTTCCTTGAGGTAATGTGAAAGTTGTGAACTTTAGGCTGAAACACAAGACATTTAAATAAAACATCTGAGTAAATGGCAAGCGATGAAACAGAACTGCAAAAGGAACACAACGGTTTTATTATGCTTCAAAAACAAAACCACAAAACATACAGGGAAAATGTACACCTTTAAATTATACACTTTTATAAACAAAATAAAGTCTATCTATATTTACAACAGCTGGTTTTCCAACAGTAGACCAAATTATGACTTTTTTAATTTTTAATTAAATTTTGATTCTACAAGTTAAGATACAAACAGTATCTGTTCCTACTCGACGTTATGTACATGATTCCAGCATTTTGTGTAAATGCCAGCTGATGATAGTCCAGTCTCTTTTTTTTTCTTAATTTAAATTACGTTTTTTAAATCTCGTTTCAGCTAAAATGGTGTTTTAGGCAAACTTCAGATCAGCTAGCAGCCCCACATCGCGGGCACAGTCATGAACAATGAGGTGGAATGATAATTCAAACAGTTACATACTTAAAACGCAAACTCACACTATATACACACAAACAAAATTGAAATTAAAAGAAAATGTAGGGACAAAGCTACGCCAAAGCTGTTCATACCTGCCTAAATCTTTTTCTCTTTTGCATATATACATCCAAGGGAAATTTGTACTCTGAGTTGGGTTTTGGGGGGGGGGCTTGGAAATGATTCAGGGGTTCATGACTAAAAAAGTGCATGAACATCAGCACAGAATCAGATGAAGTGATAACAGATAATGATTAATGAGCCATTTTCAGTGCAGTACCCGTTCTGAACAGCAGAGGGCGCATTTACATTAAGAGAGATGGTCATTGGTAACTGTTGGGAGGCTAAAAGCTTAAACAGAACTCAGGCTGGTTCACTTTCACAGTGAGCTGCTCCCAAAGTTGTTCCCAAAGCTCTCAAATTTAATGTCATGAGTCATTAGATTTAATGAAGGCTGGGTAAGTCCAGAAACATCCATTCCCTTTTCCTTCACGTCCGAAAAAAATCTGAATGTTTATCTTTCTGCACTTCAGGCATGGAAAGTACCTCAGCTCACTCTTAACAGGAACTCTAAGTTAAGGCAGGGGAAGTGTTTGCCGGAAAGCCTGGGTGACATTAACAATGGTAATAACGCAGGACCAGCAAACAGCAGCTGAGCTTCACTCAGCCCAGCACTTCTTCATCTCAACCTGAGGACCGTTTCCTTACCACTGTAGTAGCTGATGGTGTCTCATTACAATCAAACAGGGGTTTAAAGGTCTTTTGGAGATCTTTCATACTCTGCTCTTCAACATCCTTTCATTAAAAACATCATGCTGCCTATTTTTTTGCATATATGCTTCTGAGGGAAATTTGCACGCTGAGTTCACCTTTGTGGGCCTGAATGATTCAAGGATTTATGACTAAATCCTTATCAGCTCATTTTATCTTCTTCGTGACATTTGTGGTGTCAATCACGTGAAAAATACTGCGGAGGAAACGCATCATACTACACAGATATCGAGAATGTGAAGCAGTTATTACTCAAATAAGCGTCATCGCTGCTTTTTTTTTTTACCGTTAAAACAGCTTTATTTCTACATATTTACGCAGCTCATACCAGCCGCTCGACTCCTCCCCCCGTCTCACGTGATTGGCTGTTCGTCATAAACGTCACGCTGGTAGCTAAAGCAGAGCTGCGTCCAAAAGCATCTATTTTACACATACTACACTGATGAAGGGACTTTTATTGGTGCTGTACTATTTTTGACATACTATTTATGTGTTAGTACACGGTTTTGGGGTGGATGTCAACTTCCGGTTTCTACCGTCATATCAAAAACATGACTGAAAACGCCAGAGGGCGCCCGAGAGCGAGTGAATGGGGTGAAAGGAGCTAAACGGCTAAAAACAAAGTTAAAATGGTTTCTAAGCTCTTGTCCAGAACCTTCCTTTCATTTTGGCTAGTAGACGGATGTATTTCTCTAAAAAAGTGAAGAAAGCTTACCTGTGTATTTCCCTTTTTCTACAGCAAACGGGTTACGGGCAGTAGCACGCTAGCATTGCGGCCGCTGAGTGCTGATTGGTTGGAATTACCGCTACTGAGTGCTGATTGGTTGGCATTACCGCTACTGAGTGCTGATTGGTTGAGTGAAGCGGCTCGCGCTCACTGACGTCGTTAACATACATAATGCACCACCAGAGAACTTGTAGGGAGGGCGCTCCAGGGTGAGTCCAGAATGCATAGGTTAAGATGGAGCATTTTAGCAAATTCATTGTTTATAAATGCTTTATAAAAGAATACATTCATGTCCTGAATAATGAGCAGATTAAAACATTTTAACACTGCTGTTACATTTTTAGAGCTTTTAAACTCGAGTTATAGGAGTTTAAAACGGCGCCTCATGTACATTCATGATGTCTGTGAGCACGAACAGCCAATGAGCTGCTCCGCTTGCCAACCAATCAGCGCTCAGTAGCAGTAATGTTAGAGTTCTGCTGCCCAAAACCTGTTTGCTGTAGAAAAAAGGAAACATACAGGTGAGTTTTCTTTGTTTTTGTTTGTTTTTTTCTTTGTGAAATACAAACTTCTACTGTCTAAAACTAAAGTAAAATCCTGTATAAGTGATTAGAAACTATTAACTTTTCGTTTTTAGCCGTTTAGCTCCATTTACTCCCATTCTTTGAGGACTCTCTCTGGTGCCCCCTGCTGTTTCACAGTCCTGTTTTTGATATAACGGGGGAAATAGGAAGTGGCCAGACTCCTCATAAACTCTGGCTATAAAGTCCTATAACTGAAGTTCAAAAGCGTTTAAAAATATAACAGCAGTGTTAAAATGTTTTCTGCTCTGTATGAAAATGTTTAAGTATTTCCAAACTATGATTTTGCTCAAAGGCTCCACAGTAACCCATTCATTTTGGAGTTGCTTGAGAGCGCCCTCTAGCTTCTGATAAACCCAGAAGACGTTACGCAGTGGTAATTCTCTGTCTAAACTTGGGTCAACAGAAAACGCTGTTAACCATCGTTGTAAAACAAGCTAACTGCTGTTACATTTGTTAGGCTTGTTGAAGCTGAAACTCAGTCAGGACCCCTGTGTAAGATAAATGTGCTTCGTCAGACAGACGCCCGGAGTTCTGGATAAAACAACTAGAAAGACAGTGACTGTGTGGTTTAAGATCAGTACGTTTGGCTGCCTGAACTGTATTACAGTCTTGATTCCAAAGGTTTTACATTTTCACTTTGACAAAAAAACATAAATGAGCAAAAAGTGATGGTCATCTGTCTTTTAAAACGCTCTGGAAAAAGGGAATTCCACCATTTTTTCACATGTTCTGCATATTTAATTGGTTAAGACGTAAACAAAATAATTCAGAGCGCTTTAATGAATTTAATAATGCTCAGATAAAGAGAAACTAGCGTCAGAACTATTTACACTGGTGGTGATAGAACCAGACATCTGAAGCGTGTAATGCCTCTGAAAGCTCCCTCACAGAAAGTTGTTAGATGAGTTGTTTACAAAAACAATGACATTTTTGAGAATATTTTGGCCTAAGACGTATCTTTAAAATCCACAATTGGCAGAGAGGTACAGGCAGGACTTTATAAGGCAAAACTTATTTTTCCAGATCACAGTTTTTAGGCATTTTTAGACCATTGCCTCCTTTCACCACCATGTAAAGAGTCAGTAAGTTTCTCTACACTGAAACGTTTCACATCAAACCACTCTGAATGACTCTGTTTACATCTTAACTACTGAATTTTTCATGAATTAAAAAAAAAAAACGGTGGAATTACCTTTTAAACGAACGTCTCAAAAAGTTCCCAAGCGCTTGCCGTACTTAACAATAGAAGCATCTGGATTATAAACGCAATAAAACCAAACCTCGACTGAGCAGGCTTTGGTCAGGCTTCTGGACTAACTACGATCTCCCTGAACATCTAAGTCATCACCGCTGTAAGTAACTTAGTCTATGTAAAGCAAAGCTTCACTCCTCTGTGAACTGACCCTCAGATGTAACCACTTCAAAGCACCTTTTTCCCCACAAACCCAAACATTTCCTCACAGCGTGTACAGAAAGTCTGTTCCCTTTCTAGTTCTCTCTCTTTCTGTCTCTTGCTCAATCGGTGAGGACCACCAGCTCCCCCTCACTCCGCTCTCCGCCGTCGCTCTCCTCTCCCTCACTGTAGGGCTGTTTGACTCTGGCTTCTGGCTCATCGTGGCCTCGGCCATGAGGGGGCTCCAGGGGGCGGGGCAGGTAGTGCTCCAGGAGCGCAGGGTGCAGGGGCAGCGCCATGGAGACCGGGGTGCTGGGGTACTGACCCTCAGCTGAGGGGTAGTGCAGCTGCTGCTCTGATTGGCTGGAAGAACAAGAGAGAGAGAATATTACATTCAATCACAAGCCTTTCAAACAGTCACTAGCTGATTAGATTTTGTGGAGAATCTACATCGTTTAGGAAAACTCAATCTAATCTTTATCTCCCATATTTGTGGCCTGCAGTCGATGACAGACCATAATTTCCCTGTAGGAGCCGTTCACTCTAAATTCCCTCACAATAGAAGCCAATGGGCAGCTGCACGTTTAGCTGCTTTATAAGTCGTTTAAAGATTCAAGATTCTTTACTGTCACTGCACAGGGTACAACGACACTGGGTCGCAATCCTAACAGTGCATAAACAGAAAAAAGATTAAACTAGGAATAAAGTAAGACATTAAAAGAAAACTATATTTTAATTATTTAACCTTATTCTCCAGGGTATATTTTGGTTTTTCTATCTGAATTTACATGACCAAATCGTAAGGCAAATTATTCAGTAACTGCATCTCCCCTCAAATTAACAGAACATGTGTTTTATGATCACACATATTGCTATATACTTACAATTTACTGCTGAATGCCAAAAATCTTAGACGCTCTTTGTATTTTTTAATAAAAGTAATTTTTACAGAGCAGATCACTGAAGAGACGCCATCTGTCTTTCAGTAGAAAAACAAACTGTGAGTTCAGCTTCTTTTATTATAAGGGTTTAAAATGACATCACCCATCTATTTGACTGGAAAGAAGACAGTTACAGCTCTCATACGACCCCCACCTTTAGAATGTAGCTTATGAAATATGTAAGTTGTGAAGAATATGACGAAGTGCGTTTTGGAACCACCGGTGGTCTCAAGGAGTTAAAAAGGTTAAAAAAGTATTAAGTAAATTTAATTTAAGAAATACAATTATAAAAGTAAAATAAGTAAAATAAAGAGGGTGGATATAAAAGACTGTAGCAGCTGTGGTATTGCACGTGAGGGTATTGCACATATGTGAAAGGGAGTATTTCTATTTACAGTGCAGTTTAATGGTAGCGTATCAAAGTAATTGTCCATGACAATCAGCTCAATTCTGCAGATGCAGCAGATTAGAGATTAGATTGCAAAGCTCTCCTTTTAAGTAATGCTTCAGCCAAATTTACACAATTTCACTGAAAGTAGCTGATCAGCAAAGACGAGTGTGGTGTCCAGTGTTTGTTTCTTTAGTTTTGCACTGAAGCAACGCAGCAAAGGAGTAATGGAAGCTTATACTCCACCAATTAACACTGTGCGAACTGCATTCCTAGTTCATCACATACTTGCCTCAAAAAAAAAAATCCAAAAAGTTTGTATAAATTAAACATTCACGTCATCATTCGAATCACTTCTAGCTTACATGTACAGCCACACCTCCTGCCAGAGTCTAATGTCTTATGCATGCACAAGGAGAAAAGAAAGTGATATAAGTTCGCCTTATAAGTTCCCGTCTCTACCCTTCATCTCTCTTGATTAAGTTTCCGTTTTCCTCCCTGTTCCTCAGTCCCATGTCAGTCCTACCACAGTCCAAAAAAGCAAAGTCCCTTTGAGCTGTACTAAACAAAATTAATTATGCTCTCCTTTAATGACAACGCAGTTGGTCAGTGATTTTTAAATACTTAAAATATTCAAAACCCCTCAAAAGTGACGAAATCTGACAACTGATCACATTAACAATGAACACTGTCATGCTGCCCACCCCTAATTAACATGATGTTATTCTCATAATAACCTCAGAGTTCATAGGACATCCTAAATTAAACTTGCTCTGCATATGTGTAAAATATACATGCAGTGATAAACTAACAAACTTATTTAATATGTTGCTCAGGAGAGATCAGTAAATTGCTGCTCCAATCAGAAATCTCTTCTGGGCTCATTATAACAACAGCTCTCTTGAGTTTGAAAAGAGTATTTAGTGGAATATTTTAGAAGAAAATTGTTTAAAAAAAACACCTGAATTCATGAAACGGAAGGGGCTCGCTAATTGAGGTCTTACTGACTGGCCGCCACTGGTTTTCACAGACTGTTAACCATGTTAGCAATTTAAAGTGTTGCTTTAACACTTGAGAAACTCACCTAGGTGGGTATGAGGCGCGTTGCTCCTGCCTCCTGCTCTTCATCATGGCCTTATACTCGCCCACGCGCAGCCGCCTGCCCTCTACGATGCAGGTGCGCTTGGGCCGCGGTTTGTATTTATAGTCCGGGTAGCGCTCCAGGTGCTGCCGGCTCAGCCTGGCCTGTTCCTCATAGTAGGGCTGCTTCTCCTGGTTGGACATGGACTTCCAGCGTGAGCCTGAGGGGGGCGGCAGAGAGGCACGAGTGAGGCCAGAGAAAGCGTGGGTGGAAAAACGGCAAGACATCCACAGAACTGTGTGTTTATCTATCTGACTGTTTGTCTATTGACAGTAATATCTTGTCAAGTTAACTGCCCCAAGATTTTATCACCACTTTTCCAATGTTTCCTCAGTTATTATGGAATCTTCTATAGCTCTGTTCGTCATTCTGGATACATAAAAAATAAAATTTTAGGGATGCATCAATATTGGAATTGTGCAAAAAAAAAAAAATCCAATATTTTTATGTACATACCCGTCAATGCCGAAATACATTCTACATTTATTGAAATTTGGGACTAAATTCACTTTGATGTAACATTTCTTTCTATAGGCCAGGGTTTCCCAACCATGGTAGCACTGCAGGGGTTTTGTGAGACTGAATTAAAATTTCAAAATATATATTTTTGTGCAATAAAAAAAATCTAAACGTAAATATTTTCTTTTAATAAAGATCCATGTTGTGTTACAAACTACTTCAAAGTACGAAGCAAGCTATCCTAAAAAAGACACGTGGAAACTAAGCTGTTTCATTTATAAAATTTGTTTAAAACTTGGATTGTGAGAAACAGAAAATGCAACCAACTTCTGAGACTGAACTTTGGAGGTGTGTAAAAATATCCCTGCAGATTTCTTTAACAAAATAAATGGAGGTCTTCTGAAAAAAAATGGAACCTGTAGTAAAGGCAAAAGGTGGACAGACTAAATACTGAAAAATATATCTAGTTGTGCTTCTGTGTCATTTTCAGTTAATTTTTTTTTAGTTAAACTGTTTTCTTTTTTTTCCTGATGCTGAAAAATTAGAAACTGAATGGCCTTTTTGACTGAAAAGGGTGGTTTCTAACTCCTGCACACTACGGTATCTACAACTAAATTCATTATATATCATTGAGAACAGACTTTTAAACAGTAGTGCGACTCAACATGCACTGATTAGGTCGTTCTAACTCTTCTCAAATAATAAAAGTTTAAACATTTTCAGGACATTTGCAAAATGTGGCTCAGGTTGAGCGTAAAAGCAAAAGTGTTGACCAGTTTTCGCAGGTATACCTGTAGCTTCCTGCTAAGCACAAAACACTTTATGACCTTTAACTCGCAGTAGAGACTAATTAATGAAGAACACAATGCTCCAGAAGAATGTAACAGGGAGTGTATACACAAAAGCACACAATGCATGCTTCAGTGCTTCAGGTCAGATGAAAAATGCGCTGCAGGCCAAGAGTGAAGATGATTGAGGGGATGATAGATAAGTAAACAGTTCAAAGGAACCGTATAGAGCTCAGAGGCCTGGAGCTGTGACTCAGACGTGCTAGAGAGGAGGGGGGGGGGGGTTGGGGATGGAGGGCTGGCGTGAGTATTTCAGCCTCAGTACAATGGAATGGAATGTGAGTGTTTTGTCAGAGGAAGAGGGGGAGGAAGGCAGTAGGAGAGCGGGGGGGTGGCTCTGGGTGTTGTTTTCCTGTTGCCCAGGGAGCCAGGTGGCAGTTCGTGCCCCAACTGCCCCACCTCTATGCTCTGAAGTGAACCTTTTTCTCCCCACCTGCCACTATTTCAGGTAAATCGGCACCATGAAATCCAGTTAACCAACGATGCCAACTCCTTCTTTTCAATTAACAGATTCTTAATTTATCACTTAAGAATCTCCTGTTTTTAATGTTCTTCTCCCCAGTTTCTGTTCTTCTACTGCATTTTCTGGAGGTTCAGCAATTCCCGAATAATGTCGTCGCACGTTGTAGCTACCATACTGTCCGTGTCAGGACTTTATTTGTATACGATGACGTCCTGAAACACTGAGTAATGAAGGATCCAGCAGGTTGATGGGGGTGGGAAGTCCCGGAACAAATCGAAAACAAGATAAACAGCATGTTGTTTTTACCACCGTGTCTGTCTCTGCACGCCCTGAAACAGGAGTTGAAAGTGACTCGAGTTCATTTTTCTCGCATTTTATGTTATATATCCAGCGCTCGACCCGAATCTGGCTTATTCTGCCACAAATTAAGCCCTGGTCCCTGTCATATCAATTTCCTGCCATATTTTTTTTACTTTTACTTTTTATACCATTTGAAAAGGCCAGCTGCTGTCTACATTTCATGACAAATGGACCAATAGAAATGACCCAAAATTGCTTGGAAGTTCATCCATCATACAGGGATTATTCATCCGATTTCAAAATGATTCATCTCACTTGTAAATCCTTACAGATCAATGCAGTAAACTGTAAATGGTTTAAATGAGCATAAAGTTCATTATGTAATTTTATAAGTGCTCAATATGAACCTCCTCCAGCTGTACAGACAACATCAACGCCATAGTCAGAAACTCTATGACCCTCTTTCAATTGGATTGTGATTGGTTCCTAGGCACCTCATGGTTGTAAAAATATGCCGCTTTGAAATCAGATGAATCTTTTTGAATCGCCCTGTACTTCAGAACTTTTTTCTTTCTGCTGTGAAGTTAGTTTCAGGTTTTATTACGACAGTGATGAATTAATCAATCAAAACAATGTTTGATGAATGTTGGTGATGTTGCACTGCATTTTTTGATTGACAATCTTAATATCCAGCTAATTCTGCAGGGCTAGATGTGATTTGGTAATGACAACACACAACTGGGGACGAACCTATTAAACTTTTGGTGCTAGATTGCGGCGCAAACAAAGGTACACTCTAAAATTCACCCTCAAATTACACTAATCTGTGTTTTTTGACGTCTAGGTTAATTGATAATGCAAGCAAAACAAGCTAGCTAGCGAAATGTTATCGTCAGTTAAAGAAACACTTCAAGATACACAAGATACACTTTTTAGAGGACCTTTCAGCCAGGCTAATTTAAAATATATCCATGAGCTAACAAGAGGCTTGCTGTCCGTTGGACAATTCTGGCGAGCGCACCAACGTCCCCTACTTTGAGCTCTGTCTTCATGAGGCGCTAGACCGCAGTAGAGATTTCACACTTAAGTTTGTTCACACCCGAATACGTCTATACCCCCACCCACACACACGTAGCCCAAAATTTGTTAATGTAATATGAAAAGCTTATCTGCCAAGGCAGTGGATGATATGACCTGCCACGCCCCACGAACCAGCCACATTTGGCAGGTGGCAGCGTTAATTTCAGATGCTGCCCACCTCCCAGCCCCCAGCACTCACTCAGTGCCAGGGCAGCAGCAGGTGTGACACACACCAAAATAGAGGGCCATTTACACCCAGATCAAAAAAAGACCGGGCAACAATGCAGGGCGAGAGGTATAGGGAGAAAGAGAAAGAGAGAGAGAGTGAGAGAGAGAGAGAGAATGTAATGTGGAGAACAATGCGTCTGGCTCGACCAAGGCAGAATTATAGAGAAGACGAGATGGAATGTGGCCAAAACAGGTGCTGAGGCAAAATTCTTCTGGGGTTAATACAGGGCAAACAAAAAGGGCAAAAAAAATTTTTTTTAAGGGTTTAAAACTAGGACTGCAACTAGTTTTTAAGGGCCCACACCTTACAGTTCTCTCATTTTTCTCCCTGAAGTCCACTTACGACGTGTGGCTGAGTTTAGGTGCCATAATTCATTTTTAAATTACCATTTTCCTTCCCTCAGTACTACACAGACTGTTGTCGTTACCGTGCATTAATATATGTGTAGAAATACATAAATGACCTTTGTGCTGATTGGCAACTCATTCAAAAAGCAGTCCAAGCTGAAACACTCCTTATAACTTCAGTGCAGTAGGCTAAGTAGGGCTAAACTGCCATAGGCTGAATAGGAATTGGCTTACAGCATGACTGCATGCACAGCTGAGTGAAAGGTATGTTTTACACTTCACCAATGTTTACATACTGCATCATACTTATCTCTGCACCTTATCCTCACTACCTCATGCTCAGAAATGAGTGCTGTGTCGGCGCTGCCCTGTCCTGTCTGTTTGCTGTGTCGAATGTCGGTCTTTCTAGTTTAATGTTTGCACTTTGTATGTACTGTCTTATTTTGTTCCATGTTGGTCCTGGAGGGACATAGTTTCTCTCCGCTGTGTACATAGATCGAATGACAATAAAAGCCTCTTGACTTGACTTGATACACTTATTTCAAAAAAAGTGAAGGAAGTTCTCAATTATTTGAGCCCGTTGAAAATGATTAAAACAATACACCGATCAGGCGTAACATTATGACCACCTCCTTGTTTCTACAATCATTGTCCATTTTATCAGCTCCACTTACTATATAGGTGCACTTTGTAGTTCTACAGTTACAGACTGTAGTCCATCTGTTTCTCTGCATATTTTGTTAGCCCCCTTTTACCCTGTTCTTCAGTGGTCAGGACCCCAATGGACCCTCAGGTACTATTTGGGTGGTGTATCATTCTCAGCACTGCAGTAACACTGACGTGGTGGCGGTGTGTTAGTGTGTGTTGCGCTGGTCTGAGTGGATCAGACACAGCAGAACTGCTGGAGTTTTTAAACACCTCAGTGTCACTGCTGGACTGATAATAGTCCACCAACCAAAAATATCCAGCCAACAGCGTCCTGTGGGCAGCGTCCTGTGACCACTGATGAAGGACTAGAGGATGACCAACACAAACTGTGCAGCAGCAGATGAGCTATCGTCTCTGACTTTACATCTACAAGGTGGACTGACAAGGTAGGAGTGTCTAATAGAGTGGACAGTGAGTGGACACAGTGTTTAAAAGCTCCAGCAGCACTGCTGTGTCTGAACTTTTGCTTAAGTTCTTACCCAGGATCTTGCTGATGCTTGAGTTGTGCATGTCTGGAAAAGCCTGTAGGATACGGCGGCGCTCGTCCTTGGCCCACACCATGAAGGCGTTCATGGGCCTCTTGATGTGGCCGGAAGAGGTGGTTCGGCTCTCGCCGTAGCCCACTCCAGGAACAGTGATCTGCCCTAAAGGACACAATAACACAAGAGAATTAGTCATAGGGGCCTTTTTTGCAGCACTTCCTGTTCACTCAAAGCCCCAGAGTGAACCTTTAATTATCACCCTGATGGCTGTCATGATTCCTTTTACCCTTTGCCTAATAAGGCTGTGCTAATAAGGCTGTGCTACTGTAACACCGAATGGGACTGTCTAAATGCTACAGCAAGTCCAGGTGTTAACCTCTTACAGTGCCTGAATCCTGCATTTTTCTTGTATTTTATTCTCCCCCCACCCCACCCTGCCGAGATCCACTCATGACCACATTTATGTGAGAATGTATATGTACCAAAAAGTAATAATTCATTTTTACATGACCACTTTTCAACCTCTCCAGCTACCTCTCCATATATTAGAAATGACAGAAACCGGCTGTTTTTGTTACCGTGCCTTTAAGACTGATACAGTCATACGCAAAAGTCTGAACACCCCTGGTCAAATAACCTGTTGATTTCCTAAGAGAAAATAAGTCAACATGTCCTCTAGCAGGAACAAACCTAAACATGACGTTTTTCTGCAAATTTTAACACAATTTGTGTTTATTTGCATACAATATAAAATGTGCACACGCTATTTTTTTTGCTTTTTTTTCCAGTATGTTATGACATGTTCATCAAATACACAGCAATTGTGCAATAAAGTGGGTTCTCTTGGGGGACGTGTAACATATTTTCACCTAGAAAATCAACAAAACGTCATTTGACCAGAGTGACCCAAACTCTTGCATATGACTGTGGTGTTTCACAGGTAAAAGCTTAGTTCTGATTCACTGCCATTGGTTCATAAAGCATTCTGGGCTGAAACTCCTTATAACTTCAGCACGAACAGACATCTGACAATGACAATGGGCTCAGCTTAGTATGCATGTACTGACTGGATGGACTGAGGAGTGAATGGTACGTTTTGATGTTTACATACTATGTCAAACTGTTGTCAGTAAAGAGAGTAAAATTCAGTTTTCTATGATATGGGATATCCTTTAAGGCATATTTTCAAAATGGACAGTATGAATTATTAAGTAACTACTATGAAACTTATAGATAAAATATGTAGTTAGGATAGAAAGTCTTTAAGGACTACAACCTCTTAAGCTTGTGGGTATATTTCGGTTTTTCCATCTGAATTTAGATAAATTTTTGTTTTTTTTTGTAAAAGGTTCCCTCAAATTAACAGAACGTGTTTTATGATCACACATATTGCTATATGCTTACAATTTACTGCTGAAAGCCAAAAATCTTAGACGCTCTTTGTATTATTTTATAAAAGTAATTTTTACAGTGCAGATCACCGAAGAGACGCCATCTGTTTATAGTTTATAGCCCAGATTTGTGGAAAAATGGGTCGACTTTCAGTAGAAAACAAATTCAGCTTCTTTATTATAAAGTTTTAAAATGACATCACCCATCTATTTGACTGGAGAGAAGACAGTTACAGCTCTCATATGACCCCCACCTTTAGAATGAAGCTTATAAAATATGAAAGTTATGAAGTAAAGAATATGACAAAGTGTGTTTTGGTGGTTCCAAGGAATTAAAAAGGTTAAATCTTTAAGTGAGCCGTACCCTCAGAATCACTGCTGAGGTGCTCCTCGTTCGTTCGCATGGACTGTCCATCTTCACTGCGGTCCACATGGGCCAGCCGGTCAGCTCGAGAGACCTCCTTAAAGTCACTCTGCGCAAAGGGCCAAAAAAATGAGAGTTACCTTGAGGAAGTTATGCACACTTAACTTGGGGCTGCTGAAGCTGAAGGCCCTTGTCACGCATGCACACCTACGCTTGATGACAAAAGGAGCCCTGAGGAAAAATATTCAAATATTATATCATCAAAGAATCTCAAGAAAACAGCAGTATCTCTTCCTGCTAAGCACTTCTGCATATTTTGCTAAGTATGCCCGCATTTTCAGGGAGGCGAAAAAAAAAGAAGGGCTTGAGGATGTCTAAATGGTGACAGGTAATCAAAACAGGTTTGAGCAGAATGCTTAACAACCTCCATTCACGAAAAACAAAGGGTAAATTATTGTCATATCTTCCTGCGGTTAAAATTGAAAGCACTGCAGAAACAAAGTGCCTTGCTAACAGGTGTCAGAGCCTCAGAAATTGCCACGCCAACAAAAAAAACCAGAGACTCTGAGTGAAGAATAGGATGAAACCATTTGTGCTGTGGGGTTAAGAACAGCTGTTCCTGATGGAGCTGAGCATACACAACCCCTATTTAAATGATAACGTGACCCAGTGTAAACTTATATTCGACCCTGACCCCAACTCAATAGCCCTCCGGTGGCGGCCCATCCAGGGTGGTGTGTTCCGTGAGAAAGGCGTTAACACATTCTCGTCTTGGAGTTTCGGCCTTCAAGCATGACCGGCAGTGACAAACAGAAAGCTCCAGGTGTTACTGAGGAGTCTTAAAGGGTTGGAGTATGTGTGTATATATTTATGTGTGTGTGTGTGTGTGTGTGTGTGTGTGTGTGTTTATGTTTGTTTAAATGCATTACCAGGACAAAAATGTATAGAATTTGCAGGAAAACTAGCAAAAACCAGCATCAAAATGGTCCTGACGTTGCAAAATGTTCCCCCCACCAAGAGGTTTTTAAAACTTAAAAGGACAAAAGCATTTATTTTTAGGTTACTGAGGTCAAGGTTAGGTTTAAGCTTAACAGTGCTGTGCTAAAGTCAGAGACTACCCTTCATTTATTTAATTTCCAGTCACAGCAGCCTTTAAGTTCTTCATTTTTCAGGAGATATTTCTGAGGAGATCGGATTTAGGATAATCCACTCGCATAAGGATGGAAAAACTACTGAAATATACAGAGAAAGTGTGACTCCTAATAATCACGCAAGACCTGGCAGACACCAAAACTGTCCCCATCAGATAAACTTCAAGCTTTCATCTCTGAGAGAGAGGAGAAAATCAAGCTGCTTCAGATCTGAAAACATCCACAGGTGTTTCTGTCCATCCTTCCACTGTGAGAAGACGACTCAGCGCTGTGGGTCTGAAAGGATGTGTAGCTGTTCAAGAAGAACCTCACTGAGAAAAGGAGACGGACACATCAAACAAAGAAGCTGAACAATGGACTGACCACCCCAGAGTCCAGACCTCAACACCACTGATTGTGTTTGGCATTATTTGGCAAAATATCTTTGAAGATTTTGAAAATTAATAAATGAATGAATAATGGTATATGACTTTGGCACAGTACTGTACGTGTATATGAGTAATCCTGAGTGCTAGTGTGTATATATATATATATATATATATATATATAGACAGAGAGAGAGAGAGAGAGCGCTTTGTCTGTGTGTGTAAGGGAGAGAGAGAAACAGAGAGTGACAGACAATGCTTGCCACTTTAAGATGCTGACTCACCAGCCTTGTGCTGCTGTCCCTCTCTCTGTCCCTCTCTCGGCCCGCTGGACCCTGGCCTCCGCGCAACAGCTGCTGGGCATCATGGATGGCTTGGGTCACAACGTCCCCCTCACCCAAGAAGCCTGAAGAAAGAGGGGGGAAGGGGGAGAGAGAGAGAGAGAGAGAGACAGAGAGTGAGAGAGACAGAGCGAGAAAGAAAGACAAGGTCATTCATCCCTTCCCTGCTTCCATGTAATACCTCAGGAACTTGGCTCATTCTTTAGGTAGCACATGGTAGAACATTGTTAAGCACACAGTGCTTTAACTCAAAGAAGTCCAGAGCTGTTACTGTCAATATGTAAAACAGAGGTCGGTGATGTGGCAAAAATATAATATCACGATACACAATATGTTATAATATTTATTTTTTCTGACATCTGATCAGTTGGAACAGAGAAAGAAAAAGAATCAGCAGAGCGACATTTAAAAATACTGTGAATACAGTGAATTTTATTCAAAATTTGGCATACGGTCGCACTAAATCCAGATAAACGAATTTTGCTCTCTTTATAATGAAACATGCAGTTGGTCAGTGTTCAACATGAGCTGACCAATATGTTCAGAGAAACATATTATACTGTATTGTGACAATTTGGCTGCTATTCGAAGAAAACCTCGTATCTCCAAAATGGTGACTTTACAGGAGAATGAAAAAACGCACTTTACTTTTAATGTAAGTCAATGGAACCAGAATTTTTTCCAAGTCATTTTGGGTCATTTTCTTTGGTTCGTTCATCATGAAATTTACACACAATGTAAAGAACAACAGAAATGTTCAAATTATGCCAAAAACGGAACATCGACAAAAAAGGAGGTACGAGGTTTTATTCCGACAACAGCGATATACAGTCATATTGCCCTGCCTTAGTAAAACATTCATTTTATGTTGCATAATCAGTTTGGGGTTACATATTTTAAATATTTAATATTTAAATTTTGTATTTAATTACATATTTTCATAATACATTTTTAACAAAAAAAATATTTTTCATTGATTAGTGCACAATTTCTATTTGCTGAACATTTTGGGGGAAAAAATGAAACAAAAACTTGCCATAACTTTTACACCGGCTACATTTTTATATTTTCTTATTGTTTTATTTTTTTTCAATATGTTAAATTCAGCAAATAAGCAGTAATTGTGCACTGAAATGTGCAGAAGTGTGTTCTCTATAGGGGATGCGTTAACTTTCTTTTAGAATATGTCGTCTGACCTACAACACAGTGGAGGGACTTGCGAGAAGGGTTAAACACGTCTTCAATCTAAAGTCCTAAGGCAAACGAGTCATGCCCAAGGGGACCGGTGCTCATTCTTGTCAAGCTCAGGAGCTGGTTTTCTGGGGTGCTGACAACTGCTTTGAACACAAGCTTGTGTTGCAGTTACTCCTCCAGAGGCCTAAACACCAAGCCTCTCTCCCTCTCTCTCTCCATAGAACCTGAGCCCACGCCTCAAGGACTAAACACTTAAGCTTGGCCACTGATGACACTTGAATAACCTCAGAGGTAATATCAGATGGTGAGGAGATATTTTTTCCATGTCTCTCTCTCTCAAACATAAATACACGGCGTCTACTATGATCACACACAGTGTGGAACCTCGCCGAGCCGCCACCTTCCCCTTCTCTGAGGAGTAAAGGCCTATTCATAACACGTAAGATGAAAAAACAGATAAGATTTTTAACGCAGTGGAAACTTCACATCAAGTTCAATGTGTTAAACTAGTGGCAGCTGTATGAGTCCCACCCAGTTTTATCATGAGCCCACCCAAAAGGACCGCACAGATTTACTTTCAATTTCAAAATCTTACCACAAAAACACACACACAAAAAAAATGACAATGCACTCACCAAATATAGCCATATGCAAAAGTTTGGGCGCCTCAGGTCAAGTTAAATGTTCTAACGTAATACATCCTCGACAGAAAACGCACGTCGGCAGGTTTTAATGCAAAATTACTGCTTATTTGCCGAATTCAACATCTTTGAGAAAAGAGTTATGGAATATTGTGTATTTTATGTTTTATTTTTTTGTGGTAAGTTTAACTCAGCAAGAAAATCGCTTAGAAAATCAACTAAATATATTTTTTACAGTGTTTTGCATATGACTGTGTATGACCCAGTCAAAATCCCACTAACCAACAAGCATAACTACGAGGCTGTTGCTAAGCCTTTCTCCCTCATCCTAAACCACCATATTTTGCATGGCTAAATCTAGAAGCCTCTCGTCACGCTGGTGAGTTTATCGTGTCCTGCATTAGCAGCGACGCTGCCAGCATTTAGGAGATAAATGCACGGAGAACCATTACATGGTTTTAAGGATACGCAGAATACACAAGCCAAGCACACCATATAGGACTGAATACACCTCGGTTATGGTTTTTACTTAATGTTTTACTTTTGTAACCTGTATCCTCTGTACAAGATGATAACCCACCCGCAAACTGGTCTACGCCCACCCAGAACGGCACTTCTGGCGCTGCTAGTGCTTTCAGCTATGGTCCACTACATGTTTTCTTTTAAATCTCCCTTTTTTCAGTAAACGTGTTGCTTGTCATATAAGCATCTGTGGTCTGCCACAAGCAAGATGAGCTGTTCTTCTGCCATATTGATGCACTTTTGCTTGGACTGCAACCATGACAGTGGAGCTCTTAGTCAGCCTTCGCACAAGCAGAAAATCGAGAAGTCTGTCAGTTTCAGACTCAATAGATGGCGTTAACACACGTCTTCGTTTTCAACACATTTCTTTTCCATCCGTTAAAACACTCTTGGCGTGAATAGGCCTGAAAAGTGCATGTGCTCAAGAGGACAAAACAGAAGAAGAAACTCAATATTGATAATTCCACATGTCCCACTAAAACGAGCCTTTAGATCAACACAGCAAAACAATCAACATCAATCAATGCCGTGTTCAATATGTGATAAAATGCAGTGGGGGCCAGTAGGAGCCCTTTTGTTCTGAAGGTGTAATCTTTCGGCACTGTGCAGGTTTTTCGTGAGCGTGATAAAGAGAAAGACTTTGGTTTGCTCTGTTTGTTGCGGCCAAATGTCCAGACAAATGACAAAATTCTGATGCTGAAGAGGCATTTGGCGGAAAACTCTCTTTCTTTCAATAAAACAAATGCAGCTTTTTTTTTTTTCAAAGGCCGAAAGAGGCTAAAAGAACACGCCAATGTTTTTCAGCCAAATCTGTGTCTGCTGTATCAGGACAGTACTGTTGATTACCATGAAGAACAATTTCAACATGTTTCTTTGCGTTAGGAAAAAAAACAAAAACCTGTTGAAACATGCCATTGACCAGTCGCTGAATTCCGTTAGTAACCTTCCTAAAGTGGAAGCACGTGCACGGATAGGAGGGTCTTGGTCCCCTGCCCCTTTGCCCTAAGACCGTACAAGTACCCTCTTGGTTAGTGTGTCTAATAACTGTATTTTATAACACCTCCACCATCCTTCAGAATCCATTTCAGCGAGATGATGCAAAAATCAGGGAATTATACAAGACTGGGTGGAGCTCTTACACCAGGGGTCGCAACCCAAATGTTAAAAAGAGCCATTTTGTCGTTTTAATAAAAATCAGTCCACCTTGGGAGCCAAAACATTTTATGTCTATTTTAAGCTCTTGGCTATAAACATGTCTCAGAATCTGCTGATGTACTAGTATAGGATAAAAATATAATATAAACGAAAAAGCAGACTTACTTTGCTCTGCTTTAAGGCTTTAGTTCGGCTATAGCCGCTTTTCTCGCGTCTCCAGCAGGAAACTTTTCCTCAAAAGTAGAACAGTTTCTTTAAAAATGTCTCTCAATATTTGATTTTTCTGAGGCTGAAGTCATTTCTCACTTGCCAACTTCTTGTTCGAATTTTCCCGTTCCTCCTTAAATGCCACCAGAATGTAACTGCTGCACGATTTAAGGTGGAACTGGAAAATTCGCACAAGAATGAGAAACTGACTTCAACTTTGCGATTTAGTGTTTGACAGTTTCTCTTTGCAGACTAAACACATCAAGAAACCAGCTGGAGTGATTATAAATGCAAATAAATCCATTTGTCTCCAAATTATCAACGTTACTCTTTTTCTCTCTTTGCCTTTTCGTTAGCTACTAGCCAAGTGAAACTGTTGTCTGCGTTGCTGCGTGGTGATCAGCAGTCTGCACGCCAACCTTCAGGGTTAAAGGTCGGTGAATTAGCTGTTATAGGCTGCATTAACTCCGGCGTTTAAGATCATTTATTGTTAAACTGTGTTGAATGATCAGCAGAGCTTTATTTTCCTGTAAAGGAGGATTATTTTATTATTACCTAAACATCTAATTCTGCTGTGAAGCCACAACAAGACAGTAAAAGAGCCGCAGGTTGCCGACTCCTGTCTTACACTGACATATAACTACCTATTACGAACTGATTAAACAGTGTAGTTAGTAGTGCCATAGCTCTGCATGCTGGTGTTAAAATCCCTGCACAGATAATAACGTTAGTGTGGCTTTTAACACTTCATTTGTTTTTAATCTGAAACATGATTACACTGTCTCACTTGATAGGAGCGACTGCAATTTACACACACACACACACACACACATCATCTAACTCGCTTATCCTTCTGGGTCGCGGTGGGGTGCTGGAGCCTATCCCAGCTGTCATTGGGCGGAAAGCAGGACACACCCTGGACAGGTCGCCAGTCCATCACAGGGCAGACAGACAGACATATACATTCACACATGACTGCAATTTACAATAAACTAAATCTTATTTAAGTTTAATTCCTGTTCATGTTGCCCTTTTTTCTCCCCTGTCCCCATAAACGTCTGTGCACCGGGCTGGTGAGGCATATTTTTTGTAGGACACTCTCAGTAATTCTTCAGTTAGGTTTATGTAAATTATACTGTACAGTACAGTTTGTTCTTTCCGAACTAGTTTTCCAGGAGGAACACTTTTTGTGGCAATACTTTACCAGTGTAAGTGATGTGGGTGGAGTTTTCATAGGTTCCTGCCCAACCAGAAAACTTTAGGGAAAGTGAAAATTGGAACTGCTTCTTTTGTTTTATTTCACGGTTGGAGAGTTGGATGGGACTTCATAAGATCAGCTTTCATGCTGTCTCATCCTAACACCTGTAGCGTTGTTTCAAATTTGTGTTATATTGTAACATATTTGAAGCTTTTATTCACAGCGGGTTATTTACTAAAATCAACACTTTGTCTGTTCTTTTCTAAGTACAGTGAAATGCATCCACCTTATTGTCTGTGGTAACTGAAGGTTTGACACAGATGGATCAGATAGAGATCATGTTGAAATAAAATACTGAAATATTCCTTTAAGGTCTCCTAGTTTTGGTTTTAGGTAAAGCAATATTTACATTAGTATTACGTCCATGAGTGCATGTGCCTGTATGCATGCGTCTATTACCCACCCAGGCTCAGCGCAGGTCTGGGGGGGCTGTGAGGCAGCTCTCTGGGTCTATAGCTTGACTGCAAGTGGGCAGAGGTCAGTTCCAGAGTCTGTGGGCTGGGGGTCTTGGGTTTGGCTGTGAGGTTCAGGGGCTGACTGCTCTCCTATAACACAAACAAACATGAAATTTTAGTCAATTCCATAAAACTGGTATCCCCTTAAGCCCCAATGATTTACTCTCAAATGATATACCAGTTTCAAAGTAGTTACCGAATAATAAGTCATATGATGAACAACTGAATAATAGTGGAACGAATTTGACCCCATACCTGTCGAAAGACTGTACCGCTGGATCTTTTGACAGGGGTGGAGTGAGGATTCGGGAGTAGCTGCATGGGATATTCCACTGAAAATAGACAACAGCATTAAAACAGGTTAATTATTTGCCCTCAGAAATACATGAGACCAGCAAAGGGTGCAATTAAGAAGTTAATTATCTGCAAAAAGAGCCTCAGAAGCTTTAACTCATCCTGTTTAACGCAAATTTAAAACTCCATTGTGTTTTTTTCAGTGTTTTTTCTAATAAACATCTGTAAATTCTGTTAAAAATTAGTTATTTATGTATATCACTGCTGTCAGAGCAAAACCTCCTATCTCCAAAATGGTAAATTTACAGGAGAAGAAAAAAACATACTTTACTTTTAATGTAAGTCAATGGAACCAGAGTTTTTTCCAAGTTATTTTGAGCTGTTTCTTTTGGTCCATTCATCATGAAATTTACTCACAATGTAAAGAGCAACAGGTATTTTCAAATTATGTCAAAAACTGAAAAAGGATAAAAATGGAGATATGAGGTTTTGTTCTGACAGCAGGCCACAGTAAGCCAGGTGTATACATATATTTACACTGATGTTCACATATACTTGTCAAAAACTAACAACAGACTTGAAAAACAATAACCTGGATGGAAGGGAGGAGATGTAGTGGAATTGGGATTGATGCCTACTACCCATTTAAATTCAATTATACCATATTTTCAAAGCATCATTGACACAGCTGGACTCTTTTAACACATTTCTGCTTCTGTAGTCTCAAATTATGTGTTATTTTATATTATGTAGTTCCTGTAGACACTGAAACACTGGAACAGTAATTTTCAGCCAATTAACAGTTATACCTTTAATGGCTGCAGGAAATAAAATTTGTAGAAGGTAGATTTGGCACCTGGTATCAAATCCCTGTGGGGCAACTCCTAACAATGACACTAAAGGTTCTTTAGGGGTTGGAATATTGAAGACAGAGTTTAGAGCATTGTAGATATCCTCCCAATACTTCCCCAGTTTTTCACATGACCAGAGAATATGGACAAAGTTCTCCTCAGTTTCCCCACAATACCTCCAGCAACTACTCGATGAAGATGAGCCAATCCTCTTGGTTATATATGGTGTTCTGAAGTATTTAGCAATGCGCTTCCATTTGAATTCCCTCCAGCTAGTAGAGCAGGTAATTAAATGACATTCGAAACAGATATCTTCCCAATTTCTACTGAAATCTCCGTCTGCGGTTCGGTTTCCCACTTATGCTTAACGTGCAGGGAGTTGTGTGACTCCATTGACTTATAGGCCGTTTTGATTGAAAATTAAAATAAATGAAGGTTGGTCTGTGATCTCTGCACAGAACTGTATCCAACTACCATAAACGATAATTAGAACAAATGAAATTCTACCTTCCAATAACTGGAGAGGAATTAAAATGCTTCTGACTCCTGTTTAGTCATCAAACTATTGGCCTCGAGAACATTACAGGCCAGGAAAAAAGCAGGACTGTTTCATTTTTTCTTTACTTTCTATAATATCGTGGCCACAAAGACACTATTAGCTCAGTGTAACTCTGGTGTCCGTAATACCAGGCCCCTCTGGCCCCAGGCTTTAGCAACACAAAGCACAAGTCCTTCAAAAGCAAAGCATCGACCAGCTGCTGCTGTTACACTACTGCACCGCGTTCCATGAATACATCTTTGAAAATATAACAGTGTGTATTTTCACCCCATAGATATTATGAATCCAGTCTTTTTTTTATTATTTGAAGGAACACACAGTACTGAGCAGAGAGACGGATACACAATGGCGTTCTGGGAAGCCGAGCGGAGCGGAACGCATGGAACCCATCAAGCTCTGCTATGATCAATACCCACTCCAAATGAAAGGACAACCCTGAGACTTCGGTAGGCGTTGTTCCATGTGTATGCTGAGGAGTGTTTCAACTTGGGTGACCTCTAGACAAGCTTTTTCATCTTTTGCATAAGAGAACCAAATGCGGAACACTATCACCGCAGCATTAACATGCACAATAACTACCTCCATTAAAAATCAGACCTTGAGATGAACGTAGAGAAGAAGACGGAGAAAGGAAATCAAAAACTGAGATGCGCTGAGGTCATAAGCTCTCAGAACTGTGAGTTTTTCTTTTCTGTTTGTAAGAGAAAAATGCCTATGAGCACCTGGTTGACGTGTTTTAAAGTGCTGCGCATTGCGACACGTTAACAAAAGACGCAAATTGCGGCCGGCAACCTTTGCCCACAAGACACCAGTACAAACAAGAACTTTAAAGGCATGGGAGATGTTAATATTTGAGGTCAATCGCTCAGATCTTTTAGGCAGAAAGCATTTGATCAATGTGAGGAGAACAGGCTGCTCTCGTCCATGGACTTCGCAGCGTTAAAGCTAACAGTTACACAATGAGGCGGTGAAATACTCTTTGACACGAACGGTATCAGGATGTGTGAACAAAGGATGTTTATTGAGTGATGGGGAAAGAAAGAAGAAAAGAGAGGTCGGAAGGACTTCAAGGACTGTCTACGTCTGTCTACAAAGCCTCTACACAGTTTTTACAGCACACCTACAATGAGAAGCATTCAGTACATAAACTAAAATCATGTAAACCAATACAGTTTTAAATAGGAATTTTGCAGCGTTTTTATATATCATCTTGATAATGGTAAAATAGTGGGAAATCTGAAAAAATAAGTTTTCTTTGGGGACTATTTGCCTTGAAACACCCTGCGTGTACCTCTCTGCTATGAATAGATGAAAAAAAAAATACTTTTAATGTCAAATCCTTATGATAGAATTATTGTAAATGAGTGTTTCAGGCATCAGACAACAAGACCAATCCCATTTCAGCCCTTGCCCCTACCACTTAGCCCTCAGCCTTCACGCCTAGAAGGAGGGTGTCCCTATTCTTGTTGAGATAGAGGGGCAGGGCGAAGTGTTAGGGCTACATGACCCTCCAAACGGAGGTTTTTCAGACTCCAAAACAGAATTCCCCTTTAAATAATATATATATGTTATTTTTGAGGAGTGCTCAGGGATGCTTCTCCAGCAGGCTTTAATAAGAAGTTTAGTGACACTTTGCTGCAGGGTACTGTTCATAAGGCGATATACATAAGCTTGTCAAGACAACTGACATAACCCTACAAAAATGTTTATAAATGCTTATTCCAATAGGCGTCATTCGCTATAAATGTTACATTTGCCAATTTTGATCAAAGTCAGCTAAAGTAGCCTTTATAACAGATGATGTCTATTGGAATAAGCATTTATAAACATTTATGCAGGGTTATGTCAGTTGTCATGACAAGTTTATGTAACCTTATGAACAGTAATGTACAATAAAGTGTTACCATAATTCTGAGACGCTCACCTGGTTTGCAGGGGATGGGCTGAAGGGGCAGTCCCATCTGTGCGTCAGAGGACACGGCCAGTGGCTGTGTGTTGGGGTGGAAGGCAGGAATCATCACATAGGGCAAATTCACCTGCTGAGACAAGGGTCAAAGAGCACATGGTCACTACAAATCAGCCCTGGAAGCTGCATAGCTAAAGTAAAACACACTCCCCTGCCTCTTAACCCCACTGACGAATCCTGAATGTGTAAGTTGTCCCCCTTAAACTCTTCAGAGTTGAAACTCTTCAGAGTTCAAGAGAGTAAAAGCAAAAGAGGTCTGTGAGAGACATTCCTGCCTTGGGGTTTTAAGGTGAGTAATGATGGATTTCTCACCTGGATCTGCTGCTGTAGGAGGTTGATCTTGTGCTGCTGCTGTATTAGTTGCTGCTGCTGCTTGGCAATCTAGAACACACACACAGGAACATCATGATTTGAAAAGAAGCCACTTCTGTGTCAATCTACACTGCACTCATATCTAAGCAACTCAAAACATCTTAAACCTAGACATTAATATATCACATTATGAGCCTGCTGAAAGAATGTTGTGAGACGTTTTAACATATTTCTATACATTTTTACTTGTTTTAGGTACGTTTTTCTAGATAAAGTGTCTTATTCCATTGGCAGATCATTTTACCTGCTTATGCAGATAATTTTTGCTCTTTTCAAGAAGTAATATTTGAGTCAAAATGTATAGAAATAGCCTAAATAATCTTATAATATACTTACAACACTCTCATAGTATGAAATATTGAATCTATTGACTAGATTTATGGTGTTCTCACTTGCTCAGATGTCATTTTAGTGCTCTGTAGGCAAAAATAGCTTGAAATGTTGAGACGTAGTTATGGGACATGCCTCTGTTCTCGTGTGCTCTCACTCATCTATATTATTGTTGCCCAATCAGTGCATCTTTTACTTAAAGCTACACTATGTAAGTTTAGAAACCCTGCGGAAATGTGCAATTGCACAGAACGTGTGGAAAAACATTTTGTAAGGCCGCTTCGAAATCCGCGAGCTGAATCTGATGATTACGGACATGTTGAACAAGTATTTGAGACCTAAACATCGAGCCGGACCTGAGCCTTCATTTTGAGCCTGTGCGTGTGACGTTAATACATACAGATGTACGATACGGATCCAACGCCTCTGACTTTTACCGTGTTTTAGCAATTTTTTTTCCTCCTGACTCAGTCATGCTACTTCTAATGCTACTCTGATCTTGCATAATGTTCAAGACACACTCAGTCATTGCAATGAACTACAGGAAGCATAGGGGGCGATATGCCTTCCATTGTTTCACCATGGGGGAAATCACTTCTTGCGCAGATGGAAGTTTAAATGATGCTGTGAATGCGGCAGAGACGAAACCACAGGAGGCATAATGGTTTGATTAGTCACCAAATAATACTCCATGGTTTACTCAGTTAGCTGCAGCTCTGCTTGCCTACTTTCTCTTCATTCATGTTCCACGGTCCTCCCTTCACCCACTGTCTGAAAGCCTCCTCACCTGTTCCTGCTGTTGCCGTGCCAGCTCCATCTGCTGCTGCTGTTTCTCCAGCAGCAGGGCGGCCATGTTCCTCTGCTCCGAATGCGCTCCCAGCAACTGCTCCCTCAGCCCGGACAACTGGTTAATCATCAGCAACAGCTGCAGCTCCTTCTCAGCCAGGCTTTCTGGAGTGCCTGCACACATACATATACACACACACACACACAGGTGGTCAGTCCAAAGGGCTGAATTCAGGATGAGATGAAGAATGCTCAACAAAGTGATGAATGAGTACGCCGTCCGCGAGAAGCTCCAAACACCTTCCATAAACACAAGGACTACTGATGATGAAATGGACCAAGGCATCAAATGTTTTTACCAGTTTTCTTCCAGTTCAGTAGATTTTAAATCCCAAGATAATAAGGACACTGGGTTCTGATTTATTTTGAAGAAAACAACATCATGCATTAGCGACAGTATTTGTATTCGTGGTAGTACCATTTAGGTAATAAATCCATTTCTCCCCCTTGTTGTGATGTCAGCACTCATCGGCACTCAAACCTTTCAAGTGTTTTCTGAGCCAAAATATGTGCCTTTAACAGCAGTTCGGAAAAAGAAAATGAAATCAGTATTTAGGGAAAGCCTTTCTCTTCATACAAACAGATACACACAAATTGCAAATGTTATCTGTGAGAGAAGTTTTAGGGGTTTGTTTATGAAAAAAAGATTCTGGTGACTACTGACTTCTTGGCCCAATCCCATTTCACCCCTCGCCCCTACTACTGAGCCCTTAGCCCTTAGCCCTCTGTTTTGCGTGTTCACGTCTAGGGGTAGGGTGTCCCAATTCTTGTTGAGATAGAGGGGTCAGGTGAAGTGTTGGGGCTACATGACCCTCCAAACGGAGGTTTTTCAGAGACTCCAAACAGAGAGTTATGAGAAAAAAAGAAAAAGAGACCAAAGAAACCCACAAATGTGAGAATTTTCTCCGTTAAAGAATTATAATAACCATATTATTATCTAAGTTTAATGTTGTTTCAGTGCATTATGGTCTTTTTCTTCATAACAAGCACAAAAAAATCGCTAATAGCATGCTAATGTCTCGGTAACTAGCTGGCTAACTTTCCCGTTCCACCTTAAATAGTCCGGCAGTTCTGACGCCTGAAGCGCCAAAATGTAACTGCTGCTCCATTTAAGGTGGAATGGGGAAATTCAAAAAAGAAGCTGGAGAATATCTGACTTCAGGGGTGGGTGATAATAAATAATTGCCCCCCTCTTTGAAGATCATATGATGCCCTAAATGTAACTAAAGCCCAGCAGTGAGGAGCTGAACTTTACCCTCCTCTGCTGTCACTGTAGACTGGCAGGGTCGCCTGCAGAGCAGCGCTAGTAGCTGTTAATGAAGTAATGCTCTTTTTATTTGAGGGTCCCATTTCTTAGAGCAAGATTTCAACCACTACCCCTTGTAACTCAGTTCTAAGAGGTTAGGGTGACACTCAAAAAGGTAGGTAGGGGTAAAAATAAGAAATGGGACTGGGCCCTTGTGTTTGCTTGCAACATTAGCCTTGTAGCTCCAGCTCAAAGCAAAATCTGGACACCAAACACGCCTTGTCTGACTGACATCTAGTATACGCAGGGCAATTGTGTATATTCGATTTTTTTCAAAAAACCATTGCTTTAATAGAAAAGTAATGCTGTGATTATATGTTGACGTTGAGAAAAAAAGTATGTGCCATACGTGACCAATGCTGGCATACAGCCATATAAACACTGCCATGGTGATACAGCCGAAAGCAAAAGATTAGTCAAATGTTTTGTTGACTTTCAAAGTGAAAATAAGTGCACATCCTCTTCAATTACTGTTTATTTTTTAATTTAACAAACAAGGTAAAAGAATAGTACCTAAAATGTGCCACAGCTTTTGCATAGGTATGTTAAATTAAAAAAAATGTTTATATTGTATTTTTTATGTTGTTTTTTCCTAATACATTAAACTCATCAAATAAACAGAAACAGTATTGTAAAATAGCCAAAAATGCCATATTGAAGTGTGTTTTCTGTAGAGATGTGTTAACTTCACTTAGAAAATCAACAAAACGTGTAGACTGACCAGGCGGTGTTCAGACTTTTGCACACAACTCTAGCATTACCAGAACAGTTGCCGCATCCTGTCCAAGTGCTGGACTATTATGTTAGACACTAATTCACCCTAAAAGTGTTTTGAACACGTGCAAATGTTTCTAACGCTGCTTGTTGTACATAAACGGTTACACCTGGTCTTCGAGCATAAAGCGACAGTGTTTTCAGAAAACAAGTAACAGATAACATCTGGTTTATTCCACAACTGCTAGCAATGGCAAAAGTTGGGTAAATAAAAATTTAGATGGAATTCTTCTCTGATTGCTGCAATAAAGTTGTCATTGCTCTGTTAAGTAACATGGAACATCCATTTCCCATCATCCGTCTACCATCAATAATGCAAATACTGCACAACTGAGGGCAAAATTCATATTTTAAAAGGAGGTCAGGTGTCTCCAACCTCTTGATTGGCAATCTAATTTATTATGATAGATAACACACCAATCAGACATAACATTATGACCACCTCCTTGTTTCTACGCTCATTGTCCATTTTATCAGCTCCACTTACTATATAGGTGCACTTTGTAGTTCTACAGTTACAGACTGTAGTCCATCTGTTTCTCTGCATACTTTGTTAGCCCCCTTTTACCCTGTTCTTCAGTGGTCAGGACCCCCATGGACCCTCACAGAGCAGGTACTATTTGGGTGGGGGATCATTCTCAGCACTGCAGTAACACTGACGTGGTGGTGGTGTGTTAGTGTGTGTTGCGCTGGTCTGAGTGGATCAGACTCAGCAGTGCTGCTGGAGTTTTTGAACACCTCAGTGTCACTGCTGGACTGAGAATAGTCCACCAACCAAAAATATCCAGCCAACAGCGTCCTGTGGGCAGCGTCCTGTGACCACTGATGAAGGACTAGAGGATGACCAGCACAAACTGTGCAGCAGCAGATGAGCTATCGTCTCTGACTTTACATCTACAAGGTGGACTGACAAGGCAGGAGTGTCTAATAGAGTGGACAGTGAGTGGACACAGTGTTTAAAAACTCCATGAGCACTGCTGTGTCTGATCCACTCAGACCAGCGCAACACACACTAACACACCACCACCACTTCAGTGTTACTGCAGTGCTGAGAATGATCCACCACCCAAATAGTATGTGCTCTGTGAGGGTCCATGGGGTCCTGACCACTGAAGAACAGGGTAAAAGGGGGCTAACAAAGTATCAGAGAAACAGATGGACTACAGTCTGTAACTGTAGAACTACAAAGTGCACCTATATAGTAAGTGGAGCTGATAAAATGGACAATGAGTGTAGAAACAAGGAGGTGGTCATAATGTTATGCCTGATCGGTGTGTATCATAGATTTGACTCTTTCATGCTCACCTTTCACATTGGCAGTGCCTTGGAATCCCTTCCCCAAAATCTTCTCTCTCCAGTCTGCATTCAGGAGTTTCTCAATGGTGGGCAGCACTGACCAAACAAACCAGATAATAACAGCAATTTAACTTCAAGCTAAATATTTGCTCTCCCATAAGAAAGGAAACTGTCTGCCTCCATTAGAGAGGAGGTGGAGATGGACCAAAAGACAGTTTGCTAACAAAAGGCCTACACCTTTCTAACGAACACGGCCTTCAACTTGATCCTTTATTATACCATTACAAAAATGAGTGAATACAACAATTCAACGGCTTCGTGAGCTAAAAAATAAAAAAAAAGAAAATCAAGGAGGCAAGTATTTTGTGTTTCTTGCTTCAAAGACGATGGGTTATTCACCATGACCCTCGAACATTTTGTACAGCCTTTAGTCAATAAAAAAGGCTTTGCAAAACTAAAACAAATGGAAATATGGACTTTTTCCATCAACCTTCAGACTGAACTCACTGCACACTGCCTCTCAACCTGCCACTGAGAAACCACTTGATTCCATGAGTGCCTGCGAGCTAAGAGACACAATAGGCCTCCATTGTAACTCCAAATGTCTCTTGAAAGTCTCATGCTTGTGCAGCAGATGGCCTTGGTTCGTTTTGTTGTAATAATGCAATCCTTAAGTTTCGAAATTAACAGCTCATAAAGACTTTCCTTTAATTCTCGAAGGCAGTACTCACCCTCGCTAACGTTCGGCTGGGCTTCAGGCCTGTCCTGGGCCCTGTTTGCTCCATCTTGGCTGGAAGGACTGCGTGTGTGTGGCCGCTCTTTACTGGGAGAACTTGCCTGTGCGTAAACCATAAAGAGACTGTAAAATCTGAAGTCTTTATTTTACACAATGGCATAGAAGAACTGCTCACGTCATACACTGAGGCTAACTGTTTTTGACGTGTTTACCCCGTCTGTTCGCTTGAACGAGGAAAACCGCAACAAATGATGGATATTCCTGCAAGACAATGCAAGATGCCACATAATTTATCAAATGAAATTTTGGCACGGTTAAAAAATCCATTGAGATCTATGTCGACGACAAATCCAACCACTACGAATGATCTGTGGACAGCAGTGAAGAATGCGTGGGAAGCAGTTCCTTTAAAACATACGGCAAAGCAGTGTGAGGTTCTCTTAAAGACTAGAGTGCCGATAAACACTATAAACTGTGCATGTGTTTCATTTTCGGTGTCAGTCATCATAACAAAAACAACTTTTTTGAAAGTGTAGCATTCATCAGCATTTTTGAAATCATTTAAAGTGGATTTTGGACTGGATGTTTGTTCCCCACACATTTCCCAATGCAGCCCCCATAAAATCTCAATGGGGTTTAAATCACGCTTGAATTTCATATAATGAACTGTGAGGCATCTTGCTTCATCATGTCCGTCATTTGTTGTGGATTTCCTCCTTTACATGAACAGACTGGATAAACACATCAAACCCAGCTGCTAATTAAGCAATAGAACACATGAAATAACATCACGGCTGCGATTTGGTCGTGATAACACACCCCTCGAGTGTTCTATCGCTTTTATACAACAGGTAAATAAATAAAGTAATAAATTAATAAACTGGGCCGTGAACGCGGCGTTTAATATGTTTTAATGTTTGCAGTTCCTTCACCAAATTATAGTTCCTTAACAAGCAGCTTGTTGCTACGTCAGAGTAACGAGCTCCGCCCACTCGCTGCACAGCCGGCAGTTCGTTCTCCAGCTCCTTACACTAAATTCCCAAACTGTCGTCACCACTGAGCAGCTTTTCAGTCAGGACCTCTGACAGAAGAACAGCTAAACAACCTGGAATCAGCCAGAAATGAACCCAATACCATTTGCCAAACGTGTAGTCTGATCTTCAGAGTCTGACCAAATCAGACTGAGCCATAAAACTGCTACAATATCAAGTTTAGCTCAGTTTTGTCATTTTTGCCAGATCAGTATTAATGTTGTTTTGTTCCAGTCAGTCTGTAAAGCATCTTACAGCCCATTTAGTTTGGCGAATGGTGTTGGGTTCATTTCTGGCTGATTCCAGGTTGTTTAGCTGTTCTTCTGTCTCAGCTGCCGACTGAAAAGCTGCTCAGTGGTGATGACAGTTTGGGAATTTAGTGTCGTCTCATCTTCAGAGTCTGACCAAATCGGCTGTCGGTCAAATGTGATCTTAAAAGTGTCCATTTTCTGTTTGTGGCAAAGTAAGAAGTAAAAACGTTTAAATGGCTCCTACAGCTGTCAAAGTTGCTGCTTAGCAACAGCGTCTCAGCGGAGTGATACAGTGTTTGTGAAAACGTGATGTTATGGTGAAATAACAGCACAGTTAGAGTGCTTCTCAACCAATCAGCTTGCATGGCCGGAACTAACTGTTGTATGAACATCAGTAAATGGTACACATGCATGACAGTTTATATCATATGGTCAAACTCATGTGGTCACTTTAGTACAGTGCAAATCTGTCACAATGCACTTCGAGATACAACATGGGTGCGTTGCAAAAAAAATGACCCAAATGCTGGGTTGAGCCTGTTGGGTCTTGTGTTTTTGCTGAGTGGTTTTTGGGAGCCCAGCTGCTGGGTTAGTAGCTTTGTTACTGATAACCCAGCTAAAGGGTGCGAGACTGACACCTAGCTAACATTAATTTCTACTGTTTTACTAAAGGGTCACTAGTAGCTGCAGCCTATCATATCGTGGAAATGTAACAACAAATTCTGCTAACAGACACCAGCACCTCTGTTTTATGTCGACTGTGAGACTAAACGCTAAAATGGAGCTCTTGGCACAGCTCCTTTATCCTATAGTTCGAAACAGAACTTCTGCAATCTAAAACTTTTTGGTGATGGGCTAGAAGGATAATGGAACTAATATCCGAATGTACCTTCTGTCCATTAGGTGAAATTAAGTTAAATGAGCCCACCTTTCTAGCCTACTGGTAGCCTATGTGGTATTTAAAAGACATTTGTTTTTGTTTGACAAACAATTCCTCAATTGAAATTTAGGCATGATTTAAAATTCATTGAAATCTATGCTGTGTGGAGAAGAAAAATCCAAACACTATGGATGAATCTGGGGAAATTAGGCAGACACTTAATACAAATCAGCTAAATCAGCCACCAGTAGGTTTGGTTTAGTTAACCAAACAGACTTTTTATCACATTTCTTCTTTCAGTGTGTGGCACAATGTATGCAAAATGTTTGTTATAGGTTGTGTGTCTGAAGTTTTTTTCCCGAACTTCTGTCATTTTCTCTTTACAGGCTGAAATAAACATGCAGGAATATCCACTTCTGAGCAAGATTACATATTAATAAAAAAAAATATCTAGATTTTAATCAAACAGTTTTGCATTATTGAACAATACCTTGATGATTTTATTAATAAAAAGAAAATAACATATAATGTAAATAAATAAAAATAAAAAACAAACAAAATTTTAGACAGTAACTCAGCAATAGGGTTAAAAATATCCTTGTGCTGGTTCGAAGTGAACATGTTACGACCCAGATTCTTGGGTCATTCATAAACCCCAGCAGTGCTGGGTCAGTTTAACCCAGGGCTGTGTTCTGTTACGTATATGACCCTGTGCTGGGTTTTGGATTTGACCCAAACTGGGTTGTTTTAGCATTTTTTTAGTGCACCCTTCTGTTTGTTTAATTTCCAGTCAAAATAGCCATTAAGTAAGAGTCATTCGTTTGTCAGTGTGAGACAAAAATGCAAGAAACATATATTTAACAGAAAATTACACAAAAGCCTCCGACACTAAGTATGATATTAAAGCAGTACTGAATTTTAACAGCGTTTTCATTTTCATTGTTTTATTTTGTGTAAAGGTCACCTATATCACTGTCCTAGGTATCTGGAAAATTCAATTTTTTGACACCAAAATCTCCAAAACAGTAACTTCACCAGAGAAAGCAATGACCCTGTTGACTTTTAATTTAAGTTAATGTAAAGAGATTTTATTCCAAGTGATTTTGAAGCATTTCTATTGGCCAATTCATCATAAAATTAACATACATGCAACATAAACATCAACAAAAACGGAGATACGTGGTACTCTTTGGACAGCGACGATATGTAGCTACACTTAAGCTGTGTAACAAGCTTAAGTGTCCTTTAAGGGTATTCATAACAAAAAACTTAAGATGTTTATTGCAACCAGGGAAAGAAGAATAAACATCTTGAAACTCGTGTTTATAAACACATCAGTCTTACCAAAGGGGACTGAGAGCTGAGGGGCGTCATCTTCTCACCATCCCCTTGTTCAGCCAGCTGCCGGGCTGACCAGTCACACGACGGCGAAGACTGCCGGGACTCACGCTCTCTGACTCCGCCTCCGTCTCCTGACTCCTCCTCCTCCAGCTTGACACCGACGCCTACCATGGTCACATTACCGTTTGCATGGGGATGCAGCGCAGGAGGGCTGGGCTCACACATTCTGTCAAAATCAACAACGATGACCAATTTAGAACATTGAACAAGCGAATATATCGTTTTTCATGTTAGTGCATGGAACAAGGGTGTTTTTCCACTGAACAACATAACAGAACCTTTGGTTCCAGATTACCGGAACCGTGTTTTTTCTATGGGCCACTGTTCCAGTACCTAAGGTCCGGTTTTATGGCTTTTGGTATGTGTTTAAGATTCATCCCAACAGGAACGAATGGTACTCAAAGCCTTTCTCCACTCTCTTCGGTAACACTTGCAGTTGACCTAGGAAAAACTGGACCTAGGAAAAAATGACCACCGAATGTTCAGTGTAAAACACCCTATAAGTAAGAGGAAGGGAAGTAACTACTACAAAACTACGTAATACGAATGTCACAATTCAGTGTGACGTTGTCACGCCGCTACGCAAACATAAAGTTGTGCAAGAGTTGTTTATTTTTTTGATTTCAATACTGAAACGTGAACCCGGCATCCTGAACTGAGCCCACGCTATGTAAAACTATCATTTATCATTGTTAAGATTTTAAGGAATTACAGCAGGTAGACAGCGATAGGGTTCCTGTTGTGATATCAGGATTAAAAATCTCTAATGGGGGCATTCCAGTGCTGTAACTGGTTGTCTGAGAGAAGCCAGACCAACAGCTGACTGCTTTGCATGAGTAACAGAAGGGCTTTGTGGGCTCCAGCATAGGCCCCTCCATTCAACCGCTTTTCAGCAAAGCCCAGAATAAGGTAGCACTTCTTCAGGAACTCCAGGAACTCTGGAGCATGAGAGTCTGGAAGGAGAGCTGTGTGTGTGTGTGTGTGTGTGTGTGCACAGTTCTCAAGGACTCAAGTCTATCAACACAGTGGCAGAAGACAGATGGAAGACTCAAGTTCCACCTAGAACTCGTCTCAAGTAGCCGGCCAAGCTCGGCTGCGATGAAGGACAGTGGAAGACACACAGAGAGAGAGAGAGGGAGAGACTGAGATAGAAAAAGTGAGAGATTGCTGAAGTGGCTAAACTCTGCAGTCCTGCTCCCTCCCCACTACTTCTAAAGAAACGAAAAGAAAAATGGGAGAACCAAGACAGAAGAAGTGAGCAAATGCAAAATACACACAGATATCCTACATACGAATACTTTATGTTGTGCGTATAAGGATATACACATAAAAAGAAGGCTGTTTTGTTGTCTAGAGGGAACAAAGGAAGCTCGAACAATGGGAAGGAGACGGACAAAAGCAATAGGCTGCGGGGAACGCAGCAGGGTAACAATGCCGCCAGAATGTGCCGATGGGCCACGGCAGGGGAAAGAAAAATGCGGAAGACTCGCAGCGCTGCCAAAAAGCACAATGACTCCAGTTCCTCCTGCACTTTTTTCATTAACTCTGCCAACACAAAAGCCACCTATGCTTTTGCGCCACGGTGAGTGGACGAGGCATGGGCCACAGGCTCCTGAGCAGCGGCCATTCACCAGAGCGGTACGGCTGGACTCACGACAGGGAGAACGTAAAGAGGCATTACATGAAAGACATTTAGAGTAACTGCAGCGTTGCTACTGAACTGCAAAGGGAGCTGAAGGGAAAAGTGCAGCCAGATAGGGACTTCGGCTCTTTCTGTACATTTCTAACCAGCATCCCGCAGAGGAAAGGCGAAGATAGAGTCACACCATCTAAGACCAGATAAGACGAATATAGATAACTAAGATAGCGAAGAGTGCAGGGGGTAACCAAAAGCAGCTTTCTCAATCCATCTATTCAAATTTTACACAAATCTAGGCTTCGGTTATTAATCTTAGGACTTAATATCTGGGAATTACTATGAATCAATCATTCATTATTACAAAATGTCACAAAAAGTATTTTAAAAATATCTTATCTCCAAAAAGGAAACATTTATAACATGTTTTTTTTATCTTCTAACTAATAATAACTTACAAGTTTGGTTTTAAATATGAAAAACTATTCACCAAATGGTACATTTAGATGTTTATATTATAGATATCTAATATTAAACAAGAAGTGACTCAGATTTTATACGCAATTATATATTTACATTCATTTTTATGACGTTATCTGCCTTGAGATTTGATCACCACTTTGGAAATGTGATGAATTTTTAATGTAGCACTGCTCTTCCTGTCATTTTAAGAACTTCTGCATTTCAGTTCATCAAACTGGACATGGCTAATATTTTTTTAATTGTATTTACAGCTTCTTAATGCTCTTCTAATTATTTGAAAGCAGTGATGTGGCACTGGATTCACATATTAGAAGCATTCTATACTCCTGTCTGCAACCAAATTGGTTTGTTATTGTTGAAAACATTCAAGCCAAACTTTTAAAAGGCGATTCCAAACTTTTGAACGCTAGAAAGATATTATTTCATTCATTTTAAGTCATTTTACACATTCCTATCAGTCCGATCATCATGAAAAGCTCACACGATATGCATTTTCAAATAATGTAAAAAGGTTTTGATATGACCAGACAATATGCAGCAAGCACGCCAGCAGGTCCTCAGAGTTTATGGGGATGACATAAACAGGGTTGCGGAAGAAGACACAGACCACCCTCCCTCCTCCAGGCCGAAAGGACACTGCAGGATGGCACTTAGACACCTCTTCTGGGTCTTTAACAGAGAAGAACATACATGGGGGCACCACCATTAAGTTTCCATTGCTATGCAGTTAAAGCTATTCCTAGTTCTCTCCCAGCCGAGGGACGCAACGGTCCTCCGCCAGGTGCAGGGATCGTGGACTTATTGGCTCATTCCTAGTGCACTTGCAGCTAAAGAGGCATGCTGGGTATTTAGTCGGGGGCTTAAGCTGTTGAAAAGTCAGAACAATGAAGCTGCAATTGGAAGCGAGAGAGAGAGAGACAGAGAGAAAGAGAGAGAGTCTGATACGAATGAAGAATAATGCTCTTTTCAAGGTCCCACTCAACACAAGCTGCCTTAAGTGCAAAGTGGCACTAGCAACAGGTGGACGGTCCAGTTACACATAAGTCCACACAGATATGATTCACGATGGGTCGACATACAGTTGCGTAGTTGATGGAAGGCAAAACTGACCACCCACAGAGCTAACAAGTGGGCATTAGCTAACTTTCCAGATTTTTACATCCTGGATAATCTGGAATTCGTGCACCAAAACAAACAATCTCAACAGCCGCCTCAGCTCCCGATAATGGCCTGAGTTCTAATAAAGGTGCTAATAAAAACTTTCTTAGTAAGTCTTAATCTTGCCTTGGGCCAAACTGTGAGATGTCCAATCAAGCATAAGCCATAACACTGAATTAAAAATGAAATTTGCGTCGGAAGGCGTGACATAACTGTCTCTCGTAATGACAAGTTCCAAGAAACCGTGAAGGTGTGAAAAATCTAGCGGTGGAAATACCTATATATATAAAGGCCTATATATGAGGCAAGTTCGCCTTACCTGTTGTTAGGATGAGGTGCCATTTCTTTTCGTTAACGCGCTCTAGAAGAGTGAGGAAGCAGAGGAGCCGTGAGATAACATCAGATTCAGTGGCTCTGTGAGCTGCTCAGCTGAAGCGCCACTGAAATCGAAGCCTTCCCACGGCCAAGAGGCGCGAGAGAGCGCCTTAAGTTGCCAAACAAGTTGTAACGCGTTAACCTAACATTCTACCCCCAGCGCCGCCAATGCAAATGCTGCGTTTGGCGTTTTTTTCCCTCATTAATTTCCTCATTAGAACGTGTTTAGTTTCCCAACACAAGTCAAAAAGTCCAAACAATAACTCAAAAGGTACCAAGAACTCCAAGAAAATGCCTTGAGCTTAAGGAGAAGCTGATGTCCAAACCCAACGGTGACACAAACGGAGGAGTTGTAATAACACGAATAACACGAGACCTGTTTGAACTTGCGCTGTGAGCAAGACGGGACGTTTGCTTTTTTCTCTAATACAGGGCTACAAGAAACAATACCGACACTTTGCCTCCAGCAAAGAACACTTCTTAAGTAATAATTAGGTGTACTAAAAATTCAAAGACCTGTTTAAAAGAGCCAACAGCAGGGTAGAACCAAAAAAGTGCCTTGGTGAGGCTTATAGCAGATGACACAACAATTTTGGCTTGCACTTGCTTGGTTTACACACTTTTGAGCCCATAAGCATGCAAGGCCAAGCGTAAAGCCCAATCAGCTGTTGGAGCCCGGCAACAACTCCACCTGCTCACAAGTGCACTCCAACTGGGGAGTAATTCCAACCGTTGGCCTTGACCCGTGCAAAGTGTCTATATCCACCAACCTCAAGAATCTGTGGTCGGCTCTCACGGCCCATGGCTTGTCTCTTGGATGCAGCGCTATCTGCCAGTGCTGGAAGGTGGTAGAGCAAGTCATGCTGTGACCAGGCATGCAGCGAGCCCCCCCAACCGTGCTGTGCAACAGAGACACCCAGCGACCTCCTCGGAATGAAGACGTCCCTCAGCTTTCTTTCTATCTCTGCCTCTACCTCTGCTTCGAGCTCTCTGCAGGATGTGCCGTACTGTGGTCACAAAAGCGTGCCTTTAACCAAAGCAAACAGAGACATTTGCATGAAGTGTTTCTGCCGATGTGACAGATGTGAACATTATTTGCAGATAGTCATCAAGCACTACAGCACAAATGGTGCTTACTTACCAAAAAGGCGTAAACACTGAATGAATAAAACCGAAAGCGTTTTTCTTTCCGTTTTTGTGGGCTTTGATTGGATTTAAAAAAAGAGAATCTGTTCTCTATAATGCATTAAATCGACAGGAAGTGCGCATGGCCGTTTAAAGTTTCTAGTTAAGGATCTCAGCGAAGCAAATGATTTCGTGTACTGAGCTGAAGTTTCAGTACGGGCAACAAAACAAGCTGCACACAAAGCAAAAAAACAACAAATGCACGGTCTTGAAAAACCATCAGGCGACTTTCCAACGTCATTCGAAGCAAGTGTTTAAGCTGGTTGAGTGCGAGAGATGAATAATAAAAAGGTGTCATCCTGCTTACTTAAACAAACTAATTTGTCGTTAAACCCCTTTAACAAATAAAATGGAAATGATTTCGAGCAATTGCAGTAATTATTCACCCAGTGACCTTTAAATCAAACACCGATGCCAGTAAAAGCCACTGGTCGTTATGTCAGTTATGGTCGAGGTTGCCCACACGTTCATGAAGAAAATTCTCAGAATTATTTTTTTTTTTATTCGCCCTAACTTTTAGCATACGCGGCAAAAAAAAAAAATCGGCCCATCAAATCTAGTCTGTACATCTAATCTACACCATCTCCAACACGTGCGAGGACAAAAATACATCACATACTCGGAGGATAGGAGGAAATCAGCTCAGCATTATTTGACAGCGATGCACAATGGGGGACATTAGTGACTGCTTTAGGCCATAATGGTCCTTTTTCATGGATTTTCCATTTCCCTGCCAGGGACAGCCCCAAACGGTCCCCACCGCACAGGTATGGTTGTTGTGTTTTGAATGAAAGAAGGAAAAAACAAATGCAAATCAGCAAGGATCTGAGGGGGAGACAAAACCCAAAGACAGCGGCCTTGTGTGGAAAAATAAACAAATATTACCATTGCTACTACGAATTTAAGAGCAAGGACAGTTACGCCGGCTCTTACCCCAAATAAATAAATAAATCATACATATAAAATGTTTGTTATACAAAACATATATATTTTTTTATTTTTGTAATTTTTTTTTTTATCTGAAAACTCAACTTGCTTTCTGCATTGTTGGAAAAATGTTTTGGTTCCATTAACTTTCCCTCACAGATCAAGAACGTTCTTTCCTTCTGCTGTAAAAATGACCATTTTGAAGTGACGATGTCATAAAAATCTCCAAAACAGTCACTTCAGAGGTGGAAAAATAGCATTTTTAACTTTAATATATGGTCATATATAATAACACGCATGCACACACACACAACTCATGGCTGGCATAGGCGTTAACCCATCCAAGTACACTTCGTCAAACTTTTAGTCCCTTGTGCTCAACAGAATAACTAATTATTTATCGTGTGTATTTTTACCCCTTTACAAAAAAAAATAATAATTAAAAAAAACACCAACACAACAAATCAGCATCTACGCCACCGTCTCAATTCAGGCCTCCATATTTGTCATCTTCCCCAGACAAAGCCCTGATCAGATCTTTGGGCTCGTGTTCTTTTGAGAACCTCCTAAATAAGACGTCTAAACAGGACGATGACACAAACGTGGTCTGGACACACACAAAAAAGAAAGGTGGGGGGGGGGTGTAGAAGAAAGGATTGCGGCGCTGCTGGGTTTTTTTTTTTTCTCTCCTCCTTGTGCTTTTCAGAAACGCGAGGTTAAAAAGCAGACTCTTTCATCGTGGCTCTCCGGGCCTGAAACAGTCCAGTTATTGTGCCGCCGAGCGAAAGGCTAGTGTGGCATTTATCTGAGACACAAGAGGAGGGGGTGGGAGGGGGGGTGGGGTGGTCTAGTGAATGAGGGGAAGGCACAAACACACTCCGAATAAAGAAACATAACAAGAGAAGGGGAATAAAGGATGTTTGTGAAGGGCCCCTTTTCACGCAAAAAAAAAAATATATAAATAAAAGCCGCACAAAAACCAGCCCTCCGCCACCACCCCCTTCGGGCGAAGCGGAGGAAAAAAAGGAACAGATATTAAAAATGATGTGTTCTAAAGGGAGGCGCACTTTTATATCCAGTCCTGCATTAGATGCACTACTTTTGTACTGTGTGTGTGCGCTTTTGTGCATTTTGTGCACTGGTGCATGCGAGAACTGGGTTGTTGCGAAGAAAGACCATAACATCAACACCACTACCTTCGTAATACTCGACCCTTCGCCAGCGTGTCCTTGAACCGCAGGATAAACAGAGGGATCTTTAAGACGGAGAGGCCGTGCATCTGTGGCGTTGCCATGGAGACCAGGCCATCCTTTCTTGTGCGGCGAAGAACACAACAGGTAATTCTAAGCAACTGCTGGTCCCAGGATTGAACCCGCTGTAAAGTGCAGCGGGCAGGAAAAAGAAGAAGCTCATGGTGGCTTCCAACAACAACAACAACAACAACAACAACAAAAAATCCTCAAATAAGTTGCTGTGAAGAACACTTTTGTATGCTGACCGAGAAAAGAGTGCAAGTGGTAATAAAGAGCTTAACCACTGTCAAAGGACAGTTGCTTGGCCTTGATAAGGCTGAAGCTGCCACTGGGGCTCATCATTATGAAACATGCGCTTCTAAAGCTTTCATGCTTTAGAAATGAGATTTAAACAAAACTATTAGATCTAAAACGGTGTATTCATTTAATTTCCATTGCAAACAGCCTTAAGGCAAATTAACGGAGTTATAGATATAAATAAAAATGAAAAATGAAAATAAAAAACAAGAATTTCCAAGACTGGAGTTCGAAAAATGACTACAGGATACAGAGAAAAATGGGACTCCTAACAACCATGCAAGACCAGGTAAACAGTAGAACTGCCCCCATCAGATAAACAGCACTCAAAGCTTTCACCTCTGAGAGAGAGGAGAAAATCAAGCTGCTTCAGATCTGAAAACATCCACAGGTGTTTCTGTCCATCCTTCCACTGTGAGAAGACGACTCAGCTGTACGGGTCTGGAAGGACGTGTGGCTGTTAAGAAGCTGTTACTGGGAAAAGTAAACAAACCAAAAAGAAGAAATTTGTAAATCAAGCAAAGAAGCTGCTGATCTTTTCATAACAATGACCTCAAGATCACTAAATGCGATTGAGATCACCCGAATAGTGAGAGGCAGAAAATGCAGCCAACTTCTACACTGTTAGAAATAAAGGTTCTGTGCAGGAACACTTTATGTGCATCAAGGTATAAACAATGTAAACGTTCCCTCAAAGGTACAACAGTGGTTTTAAGGTCTGATTGTGAACCTTAAATAAGTTTTTCCAGGTGAAAAGTTCGTATTTGTACCTTTTCATAACTGAATGTTTTAAAACAGAACAGTAAAATAAAAGCCTGGAGACGAGACGGGGTGTGTGGAGTCAGTACAGCTCAGAACATATCATTTCAGTGGATTATGGTTCAGTTATGTTCCCTAACTAAAGGTACTGAGATGGAGCCTTGAGGGTCCCAACCCAGTGACAAGAGGGGGACTGCCCCAGTGACAGTTTAGGACCTTTATTTCTGAGAGTGTAAGACTGAACTGGAGAAACGGAGTGGAGAAATATTCCTACAGGTTTCTTTGAAAAACTGAAAGTAAGTCTTGAGAAAAGGACAGACGCTAAAAGGAAGGCAAGGTGTGGACACAGCAAATACTGAAAAATGTTATATTACGCTCAGTTGTTGAGGCTTCTGAGTAATTTTCTGTTAAATATATCTCTGTTGTTTGAAGAAAACCCAGTATCTCCATTTTTGTCATTTTTCAGTTTTTGACATAATTCGAAAATACCTGTTGCTCCTAACATTGTGTGTAAATCTCATGATGAATGGACCAAAAGAAACGGCCAAAAATGACCTGGAAAAAAGTCTGATTCCATAGACTTACATTAAAAGTAAAGCAGGTTTTTTCCTTCTCCTGTAAAGTTAGCGTTTTTGGAGATAAGAGGTTTTCTTCCGACGACAGCGACGTTTTCTGCTTTTTTCCTTAATTAAAGAAATGAAGGGACGTACTTTTTTCTATATTACAGCAAACAGTCCACAAAGCATGTTGTCACTGTTATAACAAAACCTTTCGTCTCAAAAAACTTTTCAGAAGAGGGAAAAACATTTTTTTTTTGGTCCATTCATCCTGAGATGTTCACATGATGTAAAGTAAATCTGTTTTTTTTTTTTTTTTCAAATGGTATAAATGAAGTTATGAGCTTTTGACATAACCCTGTCAATATTCTCGATGTAGTATACAGGATACTCCTCTGTACTACAGTATTATAGTCATGTATCAACCACAAGATCTTCAACATGACACTCGAGAGCTCTCAGTCATGCTTCATTTGCAAGCCACACGAACGCGAAATTAATTTTCAGGACTTTCTTCAACATTTCAGAACATTTTGC